AAAATCCAATACTTGTGCAAAGTATTCGAGCAATTTTAGCATTTTTCTCGAGATCAATGGCCCGACTCTTTCGAGCGTTGCATTTTTCAACCCATCATCGCCACCAGGAGGTGCTGGAATCAAAGTGCCGAGTTCCTCCAGGGAGTGGCTTTAACGTTACACTATTTAAAAGTCAGTGTTGTAATTAAGAAGTGAGTGAATAGATCTTAAAAGTTCATTGCGATTGATTTCATGGCATTCCCTTGTGCCTTGACCTGCTTTGAGATCGGGCTGATTGGCTGCCATTCAAGCAGTATTCCTCAACAAAACATTTCTCAGTAAAATTTCAAACAACTCCCAACCAAATTCATGGGGAATCGGAAGGCCCCAGAGACATTTGCATTGATCAAGGATTTACTTTCACACACACTCCCCTTCTTTCACAGGCTGTGATTCAAGGTCTTTTTGGCTTAGCTTCTAATTCCTCCTCTGCTGTTGGAGGGTTCAAACACACGCAGGGCCGCATTTTTAATGAAACTCCCAAGGCCAGCCAGCAACCCCTTTTCTTGGCTTTCTTGTGTTGCACACAGGATTACACTACTTCAACAACGGCAGTAACAGGGATTTATTACCATCTATGTAAATGTTTTTTGCGGTTTTGCAAAGCAGTTGCACAATTATGATAATGCCGTGGGTAGTTATTTCCTGTGCAGATTGATCCTTCACTTTGACCTGATGCTTTCAGTCTTGGAAATCTCCGGCATCATTTCTTCTCCTTCATGCTGTGGGCCTTCAGCTTAAGCGGCACTGGCACGTTAATGCTGCTAGCAGATTCTTTCTTGCCTCACGACAGGGGCTCGGATCATCCCTCATCACACAATGTTCTCCTCTCTTCAGATCATCTTGTCTCTTGGTTCTTTTTCTCAAGATCTCGTACTCATTTTCTTCCTGCTACCTGTCACTGGTCTGTTTGACTTACTTTGATTCCATTCATTCGCTCAGGACAACTTGTTCGCCATGTTATCTGTTTACTGACAGTCTGTGTTTGCTTGTTCAGATGCTCATCCTCCTAGTTTGCTTTGTGAAATGATTAAAAGTGGGCTTTTCTTATTCACAGGCTGACTAAATCCTCTGTAACTAGAGGGATCAACTGACGGAGCACCAGGTCTAATCTGGCTAATGATGTCAAACATAGATGTGGTAAAGGGCTGTAGAAGCATTAGCATATAACCTCAGCCAGGACAGTGGGAGGGATGATAATCTGCTGTGCCATGGTGTTTCAGATGCTGTGGAAATTTAACACAGCTTAAACTCAACATTACACGATCTTTCTGAGTGTAACAGCGGGCAGATAGTCTGAATTTTTAAGGTGAATCCCAGTAGCTGCGGATGCATGAAAACATAAGAACATTTTTTTTTACTTCTGAAGAAGGGTTGCAGATCTTCCACTCGCACATCAGCCTTTGAGTTACATATTTAAAGTTTCCATTGATGCGTAAGGTTATAATCTGAGCAATCTGTACTTTCCAGTCACTTCATTAGGTTCATTTTCTTCTGTAAGGTCTTTACCTCACAATATAAGGTGCCTTGAGACTACTGTAATTTGGTGCCATATGAATAAAATTGAATTGAATGAATCAGCCAATCACACATCTGCAGCTCAATGCATTTAGGCATGTGGACATGGAGATGATGACCTGCTGAACATTAAACTGTGCAGAATGAGGAAGAAAGGTGATTTAAGTCACTTTAAATTCATCATGGTTGTTGGTGGTAGATGGGGTGGTCTGACTATTTCTAGAGTTTACAGAAAATGGTGCGAAAAAGAGAAAATATCCAGTGAGCGGCAGTTATTGGTTTGAAAATGGCTTGCTGATGCCAGAGGTCAGAGGAGAATGGACGGGCTGCTTCAAGCTGAAAGGACGGTAACAGCAACTCAAATAACCAGTCATAACAACCAGGGTATGCAGAAGAGCGTCTCTGCGAATATGAAACTGAGGCTACAATTTGTACATGCTCACCAAAATTGGACAATAGAAAATAGGAAAAACGTTGATGATGAGTCTGGATTTCAGCCGTAACATTCGGATGGTGGGGTCAGAATGCGGCATAAACGACATAAAAGCATGGATCAAGGCTGAGGACGATGGTGTAATAGTGTGTGGGATGTTTTCTTGGCACACGTTTCCGGACCCTTGGTACCAACTGAACATGATGTAAACACTTACCTGAGTATTGTTGGTAACTGTGTTCATGACCTTGCATCCAGCAGGATAAAACGGCATTCACCAAGTTTAAATGATCTCACACTAGTTTCTTGAACATGAACATCACTGTCCACAAATGCCATCCACAATCGCCAGATCTCAATCTGACAGAGCACCTTTGAGATTTGGCGGAACAAAGGATTCATGGATGTGGCTCCAACAAATCTACAGCAACTGTGTCACATGACCTTATTGACAAGTAGTTTGTTAAAAGGTGCAGAATTTCCACATTGAAAATTTTTGATGGGCTGCCCGTGTGAGACTTTTGATACAACCAGCTTTCTTTTTTCTCTCTCTCAAATACCAACATGGTCCATAAGTATCAGTTTTTGAGTATGATATTCTCGATGTTTAAGTAATTTTCTACATAGTTTAACTTTGCATAAAGTTCTCAAGCTGGAAATATTTTTATACTGCTTCATTTTCTGTCTCTTAGGCTTTTGATACTCAGTTCAGAGAACTGAGGCAAAAAAAATGTCTGTATTGAATACCGCTGTGAGTTAATTACATCCTGCATGAAAACCCTGATAGAAATGGCAGGCTTGTAGGGAATGTGCTAGTTCATTCTGCAATAAAATCACAAGTTCAGATGTAAATTCAAAGAGGTAGCAGCAACATTCAGATGAGCTTCTAGAAATAGATTAACTTTTTTTTTTTTTTTTTCTTTGGGGGGGGCAATTTATAATTGTAGACCTGTTAAAGTCACATCAATGTATGTAAGCTAATTAAATTCTTTTACTTAAATAGTATTGTAATGAACTTATCTAATATAGAACGATTTAAAATGCTACAAAAAGCTTAATTTTCCCCACAAAATGTAATTAAAGTTTGCTTGCAGAAACTGTTTATAATCCTTTGAGAGAGAATGCAATAATGGCTGCTATTAAGAAAAGGCAATGGCATTAAAGCCTTGTGAAAAGCTAGCGCACGGAAGAAGCTCACAATGCGAGAGAAGGCTGTTGTGTCTTTTAGCGAGTCATGCAACAACTTAAAGAAACTCTGGCTTTTACTTTTAAAGCGGCGTCTTGGAGTCGATTAGTGGAATGTCGAGGTCAGCGGAGGCGGCCGGTGCAAGCTTTCTCTGAGATGCGTCATTGTGATCATTGCTCATCTGCTCACCACCGAATTCTGCAGATTCATTTATGAATCATTCTATAGAGGCAGAGTCTTTTCTTATTAATCTGCATACACACAATGCTCAATGGAAAAACAAGTTTTTGTTTATTAGCATGGAGTTGCATAGTATTTAGATAATTAATCATAGGGTTGATTTTTTTTTTTTTTGCTTGCTTTAAGTAGCAGTGTTCTTGGAATGATTGTACAAGGTTGGCAGACTTCTTTTGCAAGTTTTTCTCATTCTTCTTGGCACAATTGATAAAGCTCAACAATGCTGGAGGGGCAGCATCGATGCACTGCTGTTCTTTCTACAGATGCTTTGGCAGGTTAATGTTTGAGATCTAGCTGGGTACAACTTTTTCTAGAGCTTTCGCTCTGTCCGAGATCCCGACTGCTTCTGGAAACGATTTTCACTTAAGATTGCTGCATATATCTTTACTTCCATCCTGATTAGTCTCCCGCTCCTTGCACGATCCTGTCACCACCGTGTTTGACTGTAGGGAATGTATTAATGAGGCGGTGCTCAGTGCCTGGCTTCTTCCGTGCACGTTGGGAGTTCAGTCTACCTTTTAGTGAAGTATGGATTCCTTCTGGCCACTTTACCATTAATGCCTGATTAGCTGAGTGCTGCACTGATGGTTGTTGTTCATTAAGGTTCTCCAGTCTGCACAAAAGAGTTACTGTTGTGTTCCTGTTAGCCTGCAAAACTCGCACTGAGGATGACTGGTGGCTGCAAAACTTGAAGATGATTTGAGGATACAGAGCTCTGTGGCACTTTCACTGCTGCAGAAATATGTCTTTCTCTAGATCTGTACCTTTTCACAATCCTGTCAAACCCGTGGAGTTCTCCTACCCTCAATTATTTGTTTTCATTCTTATACATCCATTTCACTATGGCACACTGTATAGAGCGGTGTCTACACTTGCTAATTATGTTAAGGAAATTGAAAATTTCATTCTTATATCTTTAATATTTTAAAAATAGTCTCAAAATGTGTTTTTTGTGTAATAAATTTGAAATTGTGGAAAATGTGAAAGGGTCTGAACACTAATAAATGCATTACAGGTCTTACAAAAACAAATCATGACAATTTATGAGCTGACTGTTAGAAAATGTCTCCTGCATCAGTCACTCCCCAAAGGATTAAGATACTTTGAGGTTTTTACATTTCTTATTGCCAGATAGTTTAGTTTTTAATGAATATATATTTTTTAGTTTAATTATTTCAGAATAAGTCTGCAGTCTACGCAGCTTAGTTAATCCGTTTAATAAATGCAAGTTGTAGAAAAGAATTGTTGAGTTTGGACAGTTCATCCGAGCATTAATCATTAAAGCAAATCACAGCTACTTAGCTACTCTTTGCAAGTTTGATTTGTCACATTGGTCTCGCCACTGAGTTAGTTGTCATTGGGGGAAAAAATAAAATAAAAGACAAATCAGGATTCGGGTAATAATAATAGGCACAAATTATTTTTCTAACTTTAGACTGCCCATCTGAGCTTCTGTAGACCATGTTCTTTGATGAGTAATCTGCTTTGCCCTGCCTTAACACAAGTGTGCTTATTTTCTTCCCTTGTTTGATTCGATTCTCTTTGTTTTTTTTTTTTCTTTCTACCTCTTTTCTTTTTTTTCTCCAGTTGCTATACTCCTGAAGGATGAGTACTTTGTAGCTGGGGCTGGACTGCCAGGGCGCTTTAAGGCTGAGAAGATGGAGTTTCACTGGGGCCAGAGTAATGGATCAGCAGGCTCAGAACACAGCATAAATGGCAGAAGGTTCCCTGTAGAGGTAAAATGCCATGTTGCTACCATGCAATCTGATAAATGTGCGATATGGAGTGTTGAAGGTCAACAATGAATGTTGGAGAGAGATTAGTGAATTCAAGTTTATGCTTGAACTATTTTTATAGCATTTTTTTTTATCCATAAACACCAGCATCTAAGTCTCCCCCCCCCATATTTATCCAAATTATTTATGACAAGGATTTGGTGGTAGTTAAAAAAAATTTGCAGGTATTTCTGTCATAAGCCTTTGTACTGAGCTAAGGGAACATATTGATGCACAAAAACATTAGTTTTCAAGTCAAGACACGATACTGGTTTGAGGCAGATCATTGGATCAAAGTAAATCCTCTTCATATTTTAAAGTAAATTCTGGATCCAAGGAAAATGAGAAACAGTGCATCGTCTTTAGTTTGCATTTATTTAAATGATCTTTTGCTAGCTGCCACATTGCTACAGATTGTCTTCACACGTCTACTAGAAAATAGCCGTATGCCATAATTGGTGAGAAAGTACCCCTGATGATAGAAATCTGTGTCTTGCCTCATTTTGACAGCCTATGACATTTGTAATACAGAAAGGCTTTTTAATAAATTGGGATTATGTTGTTCAAAACACATGGGATTTTATGCGATAGGGAGCGTCTTACGATCGCATTACGGAACTGGCTTAACATGAGAAAACTGACTGGAAGTGGTTCAGTTCCTGTAACATGGCTGTAAAGACTGACGCCCCTCTGAATTATTGATTGTCTCCACGTATTAAAGCACAAATTTCACGTTTAATATCATGCATAGATTGAGGTATTAGTGACTTTGAATGCATCATTTATGCCAGCCATTCCTAGTCGCCGTCTAAAATTGGAATTGCAGTTGTGTAATGCTCTTCTTGCAAAGTGGGGTCATAGAATACGGTTTTTACCCCCTCTTATGTCAAATTGTTGATAATTAGTTTAAATTTAGCAGCATATGAAAACAGGAAGTGGCTGTTAGTGAGCCTTTCTGTCCTATCTCCAAACACACAGCTAGAAGCCTCCTGTGTTTGTTTCTTGGCCCTCCTCTTTGGAGCCATCTCTGCAGGCACAGCTTTTGATGCTGAATGGCTGGGTAATTAGATTTATTTTTGCCACATAATTTTGTGTTCAGTGTAGTGTTAAAGGGCACAGGATAATGTACAGCCATTATAAAGCTGTTGTGCATATGGCTCCTTTGATGGTGTGCTACCTAATAAGACTGAAGAATTTACTTTAATAGCCAATTTGAGCAGCTGTTGGAAAACAAAGCATTTCTTTCAGTAATACAATTTATAGATGAGAAATATAGATTTGTAGCTTAGTATACTTTTTTTTTTTATACGCCAAGGGTTTGCATTGAATCCTCTGTCAAAGAACATGGATTCCAAAGCTAATATGTGTTTCCCTTTATAAATAAGCATAAAGCATACCAGCCTTGGAACCAGTTAAATACACATAAATGATATAATAATTAAGTGGAAAAATTCCAAAGTCATAGAAATATATACATACATATAGAGGTTAAAAAAATATTGTTACAGCTGCACAAGATAAACTTCTGCTGTAATGCCAGCACACACATCCATCATCAAACATGCAGAAAATAAAGCTAAACATCTACAATTACTGAATAATTGTCTGCCGACAGTAAAATTGCAAAAATGTGGGTATGGTACTGGCACCCTAGACTGAATGCTCCTTAATGTGTGGCAGCAATCAAGAATGAAACTCTTGCCATTTGCAAAGGACATCTGCTATAGCCTTTATCTCACTAATAAATGAAGGAGTCTCTGTATGTGTGCATGTGGGTCCTTTGTATTTCTCAGCAAATCTTCTTACAGTCTATTTCACACTGCTGGGGATGAAAGGAAGTGGGGTGTTGAATGTAAAGTGGCTGTCAGTTGTTTTCTGTTACCATCTGCATGTGAAGTATTTCAGGAACTTCAGTTAATTGTAGCTTGTACTGATAGATTGCATTATTGAACACTGATAGTCCCAACATTGTAGTGTCTACCAACAGGCATGTAAGGCTATTTAGATTTAAAAACTGTAGCTACATCTAGGGTATGCTTATTAATTAACCTCTGCTGATAGGTGGTGCCACATGTGACTGATGACGCACCACCCAACAGCAGAGGTTAATTAATAAAACTGTAGTCAAAGGAGCTTGTAAAGAAAAGCGTCTGGACTTAAGTTGCTTGAAGACGTTTCACCTCTCATCCGAGAAGCTTCTTCAGTTCTAAGGTGAAATGGTGGGGAGTCCCAGATTTAAACCTAGTGGGAGTGTCCCCCCCAAAGAGGGACAAAAGGACCCCCTGATGATCCTCTAATCGCCTGAGCCAAGGTGTGAAAATGGGTGTGGGTCCCAATAAGCCAGGGTTTCGGGTGAGCTCATTGTGAAACCTGGCCCCACCTTATCATGCGAATTCCTGCTTTTCTTTACAAGCTGCTTTGACCACGATGACCTGGATGACCGAGAACCTTCACAGACATAATAAAACTGTAGAAAAGTTGGGCACGGCAGTAGAAAGGAGGGCTCTCTCATATTTGATTGTGAATGTGATATATGTACACTGTTTGCAATTTTTTTTTTTTTCTGAACTCAAATCTTTGTAGCTATCAGCTGTCCTACTTTCTGTTTTCTATTTTATCACTGCAGTGGTTTTATCAGAGCAAGTGTGCTGTCGGCTCATTCAAAAGAAGCTCTCTCTGGATGGGCACTGCAACTTAAATAATGGGTGACCCTCTTCTTGTGCCATGTCTTCTTTGAACAAGCATGTCAAGAACATGCAACCCAGATAGGACTGACTTGGCACAGTATAATGGGGAGTGTGTGTGTGTGTGTGTTGGGGGGTGTAGGCTCACCAAAAGCCACTCGTAACTACAAATAGTGACTCTATTGTATCAGAATGTGCTGCTCCCGATGACATTTCCTATAGGAAGTACAAAAAGGAATATTCCAGACGTCAGCAAATACATCCATCTGTATAGGAAAAGGAAATGTATGTACAAGGTGCAGCACAAAAGCGGCTCTGAGTTGGAGGTCCTTTTTTTTTTTCCTCTTATCAAACAGTCAGCTGGCATACTGTACATCAGAAATGATAGATTACCTCAGATACCAGAAAGCAAACATGAAATAAAATGATATGTTTTGAAGGGAAATGAGGTTGTGTAGGATATAGCCCTTAGCCATTTCCTTTTTTTTCCTCCTTTTTTTTTTTAATATGACTTGGCAGAATTTGATGTATTTACGATGATATCAAACCTGACACGATGTGTGCAGCCAATCCCTGCGTGTTACAGCCTATGTATAAATGTTTGTGCTTGATGTACCCAGTGATCGTTTATAGCAGAGGCTGGCTTTTGTTGTGTATATGTTTTTGTTCTTCAAGAGTTGAACAGCATGACCTTGGAGGTTGAGCTCCAGGGCTTATTTGTCTCTGCTAAACAGAGACCGTTTTCCAATCTGCTGCTGTCTAATTATCTCTCCACTTTAAATGCGTCACTTTGAGCTCTGACTCACATATAACACTGTGCATAAAGCTTTTGCTTTTTCAGTGTTAAAAAAAGGAGGGGGGGGGGGATTTACTGTCCCACCTGCCCAGAAGCTCTAAAGTGTATACAAATGTAGTTCACATGTGTCCAGAGGGTCGAAACACAAAATTTGAATTCAACGAGCTGTATTATAGAGCAGGTCTGGCTTTGTACCATGGTTATTTTAAAAAAGTAAAGGGGGGAAACAAAACAATGGGCTCCTGAGCTTGACATTAATCTAACCGCGGTCTTTTTCGTGGGAGTGAAGTGGGGAAATCGATAGATGGACCACCTGTTCGCTCAAACAGCGGAGTGAAAAATGAAACTGGAAATTTTTTTTCTCCCTCAGGGTACCATAGGGAGATCTTTTCTAATAATATATGAGGGTGTCACCAAGGTTAGATTAATTATACATGGATTACAAATCACACCTTCGAAGGGTATGCGTTTGCACACAGTACTAGGGATGTATGAAAAGTGTTGAGGTGAGTGTACAGTAAGAAAGGGAGAAGTTGAGTAAAGATGAGTGTCCAATGAGCGAAGGGCCACTCCATTAGATATCCTCAGCTCCCTAATAACTACTGGAAAAGATTTAAGGATGGGGCCGGTCCAGATATTGGCTGGCATTATTTATTTAGATTTTGATTAAGATGCCAATTTCCTGAAAAGAAAAGTTTGTTTTTAGTGGTTGGATGTTATACTAAAAGGATCACAGTTAATTGCTTTACAGCAATATATGCGTATTAATAAAAAAAAAAAAAAAAGTAACTTACAGTGACTCTAAATGGATCCTACTCTGGTACTCTGTGCTGCAGACAGTGCTGAGATGATCAGAAATAATGCAGTCAGAGCGTGTTTTGCTTAACAATCTCTGATGCAACGTTTCCTTGGGCATATTTTGCTGAATTATCTTCTGGGCCAAGTAAAGCCCCTCAATAGGCCAGAAACAGTCGATAATATTGGCCAGCCGATGTATGCTGAGCCTGAAATCTCAGTGTACTGCACCACTGAGATAACTCAAATAAGCAAAAGATGTTTAAAAGAGGACACACACACACACGCACACAACCAATTACAAAAATTGCAAACAAATCCAGATAGTGTTACAAGAACAAAACTGGTGAAAAGAAATATGGATGTGTGTATATTTATATGTGAATTAAGTTTAGAAATAGAGAGCTAGATAGCTAGCTATAGTATAGATTGTACTGTATGTACTTGGTAAGTCTTTTACATTGAAGTGGAGATATATTTGTTCCACTCTTACTCTAGCAAACAATTAGTTCGGATGCTGTCATTTTAAATGTACATCAGTGATGCCTGCACTTACTGACACATATATTGTCTTGTTTTGAATAACTCAAGAGACTAACTACACAACACGCGTTCTTACGAAACAAATTCTGACAGGATAGTGCCGACTCGAATCATTTCCTCCATGGCTGCTGCATTTCGTGAGCATCTTGTTCAGTCTTCTGACTACTCGTATAATAGTAGATTTTTCTACAACGAAGACTACCTTTCAACGCGCATAAACACCAAGCAACACCACAACAAATGTTACTTTAATGGATGGAGATAAAAAGTTAGCCGCTTGCTTAGCATTGGATTCAGTATTGTCGCTGACAGCAGCTTCTCCCCCTCCTGGCTGGTCCCTTCCCTTCTGCTTCACAGCCGAGATGGGTGAGTTAAAGGGGAAAAGCACACACAGTTATATGGCCATTATGAGTTGCATCATTTCATTTGGGTACCTCTACAGGTCCCTCATGTAGTTGTATTTGTCAGTGTGAATACACTTATGCTCACTATTAGCACTGTGTTAAGCATGGAAATGCGCAATTTGAGACACAGCATTAGTTACATAGACTGGATGAGCTTAGCTTCTCTGGCTGAGAAGCTGCTGGTTGCCAAGGTGCTTAATTTTTATAGATGCTTATGAAAAGTTGCACCCAGTTTCTATGATTTATAACCTCAGTAAACATTTTTCTGTTGACTTTATAGTCTAAATCACTATTTTCAGGTCATATTGACTAAAATTCAATTTATTTTGTATGTCACGGTCATTATTAGAGTCAAACGGGGTGTGCTGGCTCGCTGACTATTTGTCAGTAACAAGTTATGTGAAACGGCGTCATAGTTGACACTTCCATCTTTTAGATACAGTTCACAGATTTCCATCATGTGCTGTCTTTTACTTTGTCTATAAAGTTCTGTCAGTCATTTGTAATGTGAAATACTAAGTTTAATTTAGTTGTTCAGCAGCACCTACTGTGCAAATTAACACTTTATTGACACTTTATTCGTCTTGAAAATGAAATCTCTAGCACTTTGTAGGTGCCCAAGTAAAATGATAACGTAGATGATCATGTGCGATTTGAGTGCAAGAATGGAGAGATTTATCTGTTAATGACAAAATGCTGCGGTAGCACACTTGTTGTAAAGGAAAGAAGAAATGCATTTGTGATACTGTGATAACATCTAAGCTCCCCCCGCCAACAAACTTATTTCTTGTAGATTTTGTGTCTTGCCTCAATATTTTGCCGTCTTGGGAAATCACGCCAAACATGACTTTGTTTTTCACCTGTGTGCGCCTAAATGGAACTCGGGATTGCAGAACAGCTTTCAGCACTTGTGTTCACACTCACTTGGTGGCGAAAAAAAATGGGTTGCTATAGATGGAGGCTCAGAGTATGTGGACAGCATATCTCTATGCATTACTCATAGCTTAAAGATTGGTCAGACCTCACATCTGCTCCTTTTTCAACGACTTTGAGCGCTATCTGTAAGCGTGGATAAAGCTCACTCTAAAGAGCAGGGATTCTGACAAACCTAAAAACAAAATGTTGTAATTCTGCAATCAAATAATTGAAATTCCTTTACGGTTTTCACTGCGATGAAGAATCCAGTTTTCCAAAGTGTGCTGTTAACAAGAGCAGGTCACATGAGCCAGTCTCTCTGAGTAAATGAAGCCTAAGGGGGTGAGCTTAATTGGGTAAAGTAGTTAATAACATCTGAAGGGTGATGAATGGCCGATGCTCTTTCTTGCTGAGTTCTCAGACAACAAATTAGTTCCATTAAAGGCTGCAGTTAAAGGAACTCTGAAGGAAACTGATTAACTTAAATTATCTGAGTAATTTTGTACCTGGTTAAAGCTGATGGTTAGCATTAATGGATTTATACACTTATTTACTTTGACTTTTTGAATCTGTTGTCAGCACAGCCACGTGTGGTTTGTGGCTTCTCGTAATTTTCCTTTGAAAAGAAAAAAGACGTGCATACCCTTTAATTAAATCAACATCTAGAACCTTTTTCTTATTGCCAATTAACTCGGTTCAGTGACATGAAAGGGTTTTTCAATTTAAAGAGGCTTGAATGTGCAATGATAGACAGCTCCAATTGCTACTTTTAGAATCATTTGCTGATTCTGGTCAGCATTACGGTTATGTCTGCTTTGAAATATGGAAAGAAGAGGGTTTTTTTTTCTTTCTTTTCTTTTTAATTGAAAACCCAAGGCATGGTACATGCTATATATGGTGTATTCTCTGTATGCTGGTTTTCCGTTACAACCCACACGCCCAAAGCTTTGTTTTGAAATCCGAAGCGGTGTTTGTGGGTGATTTAAGGTAATTTAAGCAGTGATCAGAAGAATGCCATTCTGTTAGATCTCAGCACAAGGGGGATCACGTTCCTCCAGCTTTTCCATTCTGCTCGTGACTGTCTGTTAGGACAGTCACCCTGAGGAATGGGATGCTGTATTTCTCTAACATCCTCCAGGAGTGGCAGCACACAAAAAGGAATGACACAGATTATGGGAGATTTATAGGGGTGATAAATACACCCTCTTTTATGCCCCTCAAAACAGCTTTTCATCAGCTCCTCAGCAGTGTGTCCAAGTGATTGATGACAGGACTGTTCGCTCTCCTTGTCCACTCCTTAAGCTGTTTATGCTCTGTTTCCCACCCCAGATGCAGATCTACCTTTACAATCCGGATGACTTTGACAGCCTCAGTGCTGCCATTAAGGAAAGACGCATCGTTGCTGCCATGGCCATCTTCTTCGAGGTAAAGTATCAGCAGAGTTGGAGTTTGAGATGCACAAGAAAATCCAACAATGCACTGCAGCACTTGTCTTTTGGACTGGGCAACCATTTAGGTCCAGACTAAATACCCAATTGATGACCTACCATGAAATTTAATACACATTCAAGTTCCTCTCAGCTGAACTGTGATGGATGGCATCATTGGGGTTTTATGAGCAGATATCAGTAAAAGTTACTGACATTACTATCAGCCTTATGAGTGTGCATCCTTCATAGCACAGCTTAGTTTCCTCATCGGAGGTCTCAGAAGAGTAAAACCTCGTTGTAGTAGCTCTGGGTGTAGTTGCTGGAAATATTGATGGAAAATATCCTTTTTCACTGTTGTATGAAATGACTTACTGCCAGCTGTAAGAGATCATTTACAAAACCAAGGAGATGAGTGAATAAATGGAATAGATAAAAGGAAGCTGCCTGTAGGAGTCAGGAGGATTAAAACGGGGCATTGGAACTATGGATTTAAGATTGGGATTGGTTTTGGTCCAATTTTGAGAAAGGTAATCATATAAATTTTTCAAGTCTGTAAATGATAAATATTTATTAGGAATGATCTTTGGCACCTGCGTTGCGATAGGAAATTTCCTCTCCAGCTGGTTGCTGATTACATTTCTTGTTCTGTGGCACACAGCAGATTGTTTGCTTGAGATACTACAAATTGTCCCCTGAAGATCTGAGCACGTAAGCTCTTAATGGGCAACAATGGTCCTAATTTCTATTAGGTGTGCAAACACCTCCAAGATTTAAGCAGCAGCACTGAGAACTCTGCGGTTTCTATCTCTGTTAGACTAATTTCTATTAGCAACAACTTTACAGTTGGTGGCAGCTGATGTATATCTGCTAACCTTCACCTTAATAGTTTATAGAAAAGATTCTGTTCTTCGACTGAGGTAGGCTGGAATCGGGACACAGGTGTTTGCAATGTAGGTCTGCTCTTAGACAATGATGAACCGCGTGTGCACGAGGACCTAAATGGCTCCGCTGGGTCCTGACAGCCCTATTGCTTACTGCAATTAGCACCACCATACACAATTTGTTGGAAAAACAGTTTACAGTGTGAAGGTTTTTAAGCGGGCATGCACACACTGGCTCAGATTTACTATTTCTAATCAATGAAAAGTATTCTTCCTCTGCTCCCCAAAGGCCTATTAATGGCCTCTAAGGTGTGCATATTATCCACATTCAGCATTCAGCTCCAAACAATTACTCTCCTCTGACTGACCTGAATTAATGTCGAGCAAGGTATTATTGGTCCCCGCATCCCAACACTGTTTTTGTCCAGTCTTGTCTCTTAAGTGGGACGCTGGGAATATTTAAAAGCGTTGGACTGAGCAATATTGCTCATCTTTTGTCATTTCAAACAATGAACTGCCAGCCCAACAGATAAAGAAGGCATCATCACCAGTCCTCTGGAGACGGCACAGGAGGAGGACGGCTGTGGTCATTAAAACATTTTAAATCATCTGGAAAAAAAGAAATTCAGATGTGGATTTTTCAAAAATCGGAAAAAGTTTCAGAAAGTGTCTCCCTGAATGTTGCTCAGTGAACATCACAATGTTCATCTCTAGTTTTCTTTTTCCCATTTTCCCCCTTTTGTGTGTGATCTACATTCTAGGTCACAGGCCACACATGGATACTACCCGTAGATCTGCAAAGACCAGAAAATGTGCATTTGTTTGGAAAAATATTTGGCATTTAGGAAAATGGATGAGACAGCTCTCTCAGACAGAATTTATCAGTATACTCTGCGGCTCGACTGTAAAAGCACCGAGTCCTCGGCAAACCTGTGCCTCAGCAGACAGATATTGAGTTATTTTTGCCACCATTTCGTTCTATTGAGTTTCGTAGCATTAGGAAGCACACTCGTGAGCTCATTCTCCCTACCTTCATCTGTAAAATGTACACTATTAAAAATGATTTTCATGCATCTACATCATAAAGAAAATCCTATCAGATGAGCAAAGACATTTGATATGAAGTCACTCTATCAGACCTGTGCTGTGAATAGTTTTTAATTAGAAAAGTTCAATCCAAAGAACCTTAGTAACAGACGTATGAAACTTTGTTGAAAGCATGTTTTGTAGCTGAGATTTAATTTAGTTTGCTTTAAATCACGTTTGCAGCAGATGTGACTGTCTTTTAAAGTAGTGCAGGTTTTACTGTACATACAGTATCACAGCTAAAAAGGCAAACGCAGTCTTTGAAATGATCAGATATGTTTAGTGTCTTTTATAACAATCAAAACATCAAAAGCAGGTTAACATACTAAAGGCAGAGCAGGAATTGGAGACGTAGTTTATGGTTATGTTGGCGAGTGGGTACTGCACATAAACATCAAGGTTATTTTGTAACACATTTTTTAAAACTGTGTGATGATAGGTTCAGATTTTTGGTGGTTATTTTCCAAGTAAACCAGAACACTCAAACCCCGAAACAAAAACCATTACAAGAAGCAGAATGGAAAAAGATGGCTTCTGGTGCTGCAGTTTAGTCCGCTGATGTCGATTGTCTTTTGGTATTTTATTTGGATTATTATAGAAGTCTGTTAATCCCTTTTCTAATCCTTTGTCTCTGGATGTTTCCTGCAGCTGGGGCAAAAAGACAACCCAGCTGTGGACCCCATCATCCAGGGATTGAAGGGAGTCGTGCATCATGGTAAGTAGCGGGCACGTAACCCCTGACACACTCTACTTTCCGTAGAAGAATAGTTTTCATGCCGTTGAGTGCTCGTCATTCTTTGTTGAGCTGCGATGCTTTTATTTGTTTATTTCATATAGTTTTAACTTTAATTCCATAATCTCTCAATCTCGCAAAAAAACATTACATTTGGGGAAATAAAGTTCTAATGGGATCTTCGAAAAGCAATTGACCCTTACAAAATCCCTCTGATGTTTTCGTAATAGATGTTTTGATTTATCCGCAGAGGTAAAATCCTTTTGCCATTGCAGATCACTCGCATGTGCTGTGCCAGTGTGCCTGCACATGCGATGTGACAATAAAAGTGATTTGATTTGAGATATGGTGCCGTTCCTCCTCCTCCAGGAACAAAATGTCAACGCTCTTGCATTCAGCTGCTTAAGCACTATTATTTTAAAAATTCCAAATGAGTCTAAACACAAGCTATGAGCAGAGTTTAACTTCAAAAGGAGATAAAATTTGTAAGATCCCGCCTCTGCCGTGCTACTGTGGCTCCACAGTAGGAGACCTCCAAGGAGCTTCACTCACAGAGAAAGAACTATTAATTACATCTCAGCCTTAATTAGACAACCCTTTGTTTTAGTCAGGCTCAAATGTAAATCTATGAGCTCTCATGGACTGCAGCTCCTGCATAGGCTTATATTCATATTTAAGCTATTAATGTCTTGTGTTTTGTGCTATGGCACAATTCTTCATGGCATATTGTTTTAAATTACTGCTGCTGGGCCGGCGTCACGGGATTCATGGCTTATGCAGTCTATAAGCATATGTTTTATCACGAGTGTGTAATCCTTTACTACAGATGAGGGCACAACAGCTCTGTTTACACGGACACGTTTGACTTGTTTTACAGCCTGCAGCTGACGGTCTTTTTGTGACCATAATCGTAAACAGACAAGGACATGTAAGAGTATGAGGATATATAGAAGCGCAGCATAATTGCTCTTCACTCACGCTGGATTTGAAAGACCAGCGCTGGGCTTCACTGAATCGATTCTAATTATAATTCAACAACCTCAACTTTCTGGAGATAGGCGTTTCGATGTTTTGCATTGTGGGCTAGCGAGGTTATGACATTTGGCATTCACGTTGGAGGGGAAAAAAATATTAGCGGTTTTCTTTTTGCTAAAGATAAATGTATAAGGGTAAAAATTTGACCATAGCAAACCACTGGAGGCTACAGGAACACATGGAATTTGGCCTCAGAACCAGGAAAGGGGTCACTTTGTTTTGGCAAATTTTAAATAACTATATTCTGATTAGCCTTAAACCAGGATAACATGTGTGTGCGTGTGGTTATTTTCCAAAGATGTAGTTAAGCTCCCTTTTTCTTTTGTTATATAACCTCGATAAAGACAGATTATCAAACATGTTGCATATACTTGATTATTTTGAGTCTCCAAGTGCCTGGACTGCACAGATGTCCATGCTTGCACCACATTATTTCATTTCCTGACTGAAAGAGAGCCTGGTGTGGGTGTGGTGGTTTTTGGCCTGTCTTCCTCCGTGCCTTCTCCCCTGTTAGGATGCTTGGTTTTTCAACTAGCTCGTTATCCCGCAGTCATCCATCCATCAACATCTCGGTGGCCCATGAGCGATAGGGCACGTACACTGTCTGAAGACGGAGAGAGGAAAGGCTGTGCGCGCTGAATTTCAGTCGGGGTAGAGATGAGGCATCAGGGGCGAAGCTTCCCGTACCTCACCAGCCTGAATATAAACCACACCCTAAACCCATGAGCTACGAGAGATTATATCTGAATTAAGTTTGGCTTTATGTTGATATTTGTCATCATAATTCAAGGAGAAAAAAACAATCAAACCGACTTGCATAATCCACTTTACATAATCGCAGGACATATAGGAATTTTCCTCTAAAAGATACTTCTGCTTTTTTTTGTTGTTGTTGTAGAGTGTTTGTTTTTCTGCACAGCTTTACCTGATTCTGATCAGAGGACTGAAGAGATCCAGCAATCATTATGATCTGTCGTAATTCCCATGGCCCATGCCACAGTTGCTGCACAGAGCAGAGCACGCTACCACCCAGCCACAGATCAGCTGTCAGAGCTGGCCATTTTATCACACTCCTCTCCCTTTGCTCTTCTCACAGTCCATCTGAGTACAGAGATCTGGCCAGAGTGATAACAAGTGGTGAGGCTTTTAACTACTGCCATTCCACTCGTGGAGGTTTCAGGAAAGCAGTAATTATGCCACACCGGGAATGAAATGAAACAACCTTGTTAATGTTGGTGTAATTGTAACTTGACACATTAAGGGTTTTAGTGCGCCGAGCGATATGCTTTACAGCGCTGTGTATTGACAGGTTTTGATCTCTTTACACAGAAAAGGAGACCTACCTCAGGTCGTTCGTCTTGAGGGATCTGCTGCCATCGTCGGTGGACAGTTATTACAGATACACCGGCTCTCTGACCACTCCGCCCTGCAGCAAGGTAGTGGAGTGGATCATCTTCTCCAGGCCTGTGTATCTGTCCCACTCACAGGTGCGTCAAGTTCACATACGCGCACGCACACACACACTTGTCCATACAGCTCTATTCTCCACGCACAGTCAGATCCCATTTGCGAACAGTCAGTGGATCGCTTGCTGTCCCACGGTGTCAGTGCACAAGCAATTTTTCCCCTCATCTGCCTCCCCTCCTTATTCCCTTTTCCTTCGTTCCTCTCCAACTCCTCTGCATATGAAACCATCACTGCCTATATAGTGGATGATTAAGCAGGAAGGGAGAGCCAATTACTGGCATTTGAATGATAGTAAGTGTGAGATAGCACCTATGCATATATTGTGCTGTTAGTGTGAGACATTGACTAAAGACTCCTAAATGGAATACTGCTCTGTGTGGAAGCTGGCTATCATATTATTAAAGTTGTTCAGGTTCATCAATTTAAATTCTCATTTACCTGAAGTAAAAGTTTGACACGTGTAATGAAAAAAATGCCTTTAAACTATTCATTTATGTGCTTTACAGCATCTTGCCTCCCACGGTTTTTGCTGTTTTGATTTGAGAGATAATATATGCCAAGCCATGCCCAGTGCTTTCTGCTGATCCCATACACAGTCCTTTGCTGCATCTTTTATACAAACAATTCTTAGGTTACCCAGCTGCATATCCTCTAGAGAATTCTGTGCTGTAGAAATTTGCAAGGCTCAGTGGAATTTCCATCATCTTGCAAGAGGACAAATCTTTTGTTCAGAAATGACTTCTCCTGCAAGAATATTGACCCACCTTTACAATGTTTGTGACGCTCACAGATAGTCTTTTATGAACCTGTAATTCATTTCTCCAAGCACGCATAGGACACATTGATTCCACAGTATCTGTAATGTGTAGTCATTACAGCACACTGCAGGAGATCATTCATGGCAATCAATGGCCACAAATTTGCCCCATTGAGAAGTTACAGCCCAGCATGCAGCCCAGGGTGATGATTGAAGTCTGTGCCTACTGGTGCCTGTGGTGTGAATGTTACTTGCAAATGCTGTACTCCAGTTGTGAAGAGTCAGCTACTGGCATGCAGCTCCAAATGCAGTTCTGCATGATATATTGAAAGCGCGTGGACAGACGCGTATACATATGCACAATAGCACTTGAATTTGCCTCAATAGCTATTCTTTGTTTCTTTCTATCCAGCTGGAGGCTTTCTACTCCATCTTTACAACAGAGCAACAGGACCACGTCAAGTCTGTCGAGTACCTGTGGAACAACTTCAGGCCCCTGCAGGACCTGGGCAATCGCAAAGTTTTTAAGTCGGCTGTAGAAAATGCATGGCAGAGGGATTTGACCGAGATCCTGGGAAGCCCTCATAGCACCGAGGCTTCAAAAGGTAAGCTTTGTTTTCTCTATGATTTTTAGATTTTTCTCAGCTGCAGCACTACTATAAAAGGATTTGCTTAATCCACGGAGCTCCCATAATTACAATTATTACTTACTTTTTCAGCGGTGAATAGTTGCTTGAATTGGTAGCTAATATTGCAGCGTGGATTAATGTTATAAATGCACACTGTGCAGAATAGTGTTGACATTAAGCCAATGTTGCATGGGCCAAGATCTGTGATAGAAACAGTCTTACAAGTCATACAAGTAAAAAACTGAAAAGCAGGAAAATGCTTAGAAAGGGCAAACTAAATATAAGGACTTCTATCAGGGTTTTAACTATGATGATGGGTTTTTATGCTTTTTTTTTTTTTTTTTAAATGGGAGATGAGTGTTTAAACTATCTTGGTGGGTTAATTTCAACCACAGTCTACCTAAATATATACTGGCAAGATAAGTGGGCATTAATCTAAACCTGTTAATTTTGTACTTGATTGGCTCAGTAAATGTTAACATGCTAATGAAAAACACTTAATTTTCAGATTTTTAAGAACTGAGTCCGTTCACTATGCAATATGGGCCCTAATTTATATGTGTGTGTGTGTGTGTGTGTGTGTGTGTGTGTGTGTGTGTGTGTGTACACACACATTGGAAACCAAGGCGCAAACTACCAAATCACTGAAATAGCCGCCCAGCTACATAATGATTTTGACTTAAAGTCTAACAATCCTGTGTGCCTGGGCGTGTGTGAAACTGTCTATACTGATCGATATTATTAAATGAAATGTGCAAAGAGGGCAGCAGACTCGGTGCATACACGTAAATAAAATGACTAATATGAATAAAGTGCTTTATTTAAATTAGTTTATGCATTGTTTGGATTTTGTTCCTAGATTCTAACGGATAAGAGTTTGTTAGCTGGCAAGTGTTGATTTTTGCCAACTGAAATTATAGAGGCAGATTTTATTTGCTGTATCTAACTAGCTAATCAGGCTAACATTAGCATCGTTAGAATTTAGAGAACATGAATCCTGGGAGACCAGGAACTAATCAGAGAAAAAAATACTTTTCAGCTGCTATTTTATGCACAAGGTGTTGCCATAGCGCGCGGCGCCGCATGTCTGATTTGGCATATGACGGATGCGCTTCCTTACACAACCCCCAAAAGGATTGGTCTCTTCTCTCGGGATCAAACTGGTGATCTTTTGTTTGTTAGTCAAATATCTAAACCGCTACACTATGAAGCCATAGGGAACCAATCATAGATCTCGGCTAAAATCAGTCTCTCAGTAAAGGGACAATTTTATTGTGTTTTTTTTGTTTTGTTTTTTCTCGTATTTTGTTAGATAAAAGTCGAACAGAGGAGAAATCAGTAGTTTAATGTAATAATTCCAATTTCAGGAGCTTTTTGGGTAAAACTTGGCACATTTGATTCTCTCACTGATACAACTGATTCTTCAAAGCACATATTAATACCAGGCACGGACCTCATGCAGTGCTTGATCAGAGTATCTTTGTTTGTCTTTCTCTTTTATGTGTGCATCTTGCCGTGCTGGCTTTAACCGAACAGTACAGGAACTATGGAGACTAATGAGAAAGGCTGCTGCTCCTTAAAGTGGTGTTGTTGGTGTCTGGCAGGGAGAATTGATTGGGAATGCTTGTGATGAAGTTGGAGCACTCTAACGGGGCCGATCAGCAATCATCATTAATATGTGGTACAGCTAAAATAGACCCATACAAATTAAGTTGTGAAATTGCTTTTGTGGCATTATGTCAGTAGGCAGAATGAATGGGAACCAGTGTCTTTTAATTTTTTGTTTACCCCTCCCGTCTTTTTATTTATTTATTTATTTTCTGTTTTGCAAAATCTAATCTGCATTTTTATCAAAGAATATTTTTGTGCAAGAATGTATAGGCGAATGGAGGTTTAAACACTGTCAATCTCATCTGCAAGGATGACATCTGTCAAGGTTGTGCAACGGGGGCTGTTTGTCCGCGCACAATAAATGATGGCTTTGCTTGTAAATGGCGTATGAGAGCCAGGGCCGCGCCTTCACTGAATGCTCCACCGCTGTGGCTTTTATGGCAATGGAATTTGTTTGGCCATTACAAATGCAGAGCTAACCTTTCAGATGCAAAATAGAGATTGCAGATTAGTTTGTGGTGGTGCACTGTCATTGTTTGTCCAGTAATAATGCCAAGATATATAGGGCACTATTTATTTTATCTTTGGTGTGTCTTTGCATGTGTAAAAAAAACAACAAAAAAAACTCCCCAGCTCTGCCAAAGCCATACCCTCCATTTAAAATTTAATTAATTGAGACAATGGTGATAATGCTTTTTATATGTCTTATCAGATTGCTGTGTTCATTATATTCTCAGGTTAGGGAACTGATAATATGTTTCGAAACTGTAGAAAATGACAGCGACAGTTTCCAAGAACCCACAATGATGCTTTAAACTTTCTTGTGTTGTCACTTACAGCACAGAACTGAAAAGTAATGAATGTATAAAGATATAAAGTGGAGAAAGGCTGCCATGTCCTTGTTCCGGAACAATTATAACCGAAGAATGTTTGGCATTTTACTCCTACAGTAGGCAGTTACTCGATTTTCACCCAGTCAGCCTTTCATTTTAATTAAAGGAGCATTAGTCTTAAAAAAAATCAGTAGGTGTTAAGATTATGGTTAAAGCTATAGACAGTGAGCATCACCGTTAAATGATTATTGTAGTTACTGCGTTGGTTTTTGGTGGTTGAGATGACTCGCATTACTCAGCTCGCCTGCAGAGTTCACAATGAATAGTTTTGTCCCCCCCCCTCATTGTTTAGAGTAAAATCCTTGTCTCCTCGATCATTCAACGCTGCAAACAGCTTCTTTTAAAAAAATACTGTAAAGGCTTTAGAAGTGAGACGCTTTGGAACTGCTGTTTGTTGACAACCGTCGATTCATCACCGCTCGGTAGACAGTGTCGGGAGAAAGATTCATGCTCTGTGCGGAGTGGTGTTGTAGACCGAGATGGAACCTCTATGAAACACGAATTTTGAAGGTTACAGCGTTTAAAAGAATTCCTCCACTTTTAAAACAGTATGTACATTTTATTGTCAGCTTAAGGTTTTGTTTCCACTCGATCCTGCTCTGCGCCGGTTTTTACCAAGTGCAACTTTCACAAAACGAACACGTGCACATCTAAGTTTGAAATCAGTGCCTGGGTCGCAGCGTTTGCTCATAACTTGACTACATTTAAGAAAAGGTTGCTCAGATGACACATTTTTAGGAGAAGAATCTTTTTTTTTTTTTTTGCAATATGCAGAACGGGAGAAGCTGAGATGGTTACTAATACGTGCGTGCTGATTGTTAAAAGGATGATGATTGCCATGACAGAAGTGATGCAGGCAGTAAAACCGCAGTGACATCTTCAGCTGCTATTAAATTATCATTGTTGAGGTTGACAACACACATCCGACAGGTTTATAATACATTTCGCACCTGTCACATCTAATCAACACCCCGAGATTTTCTTCCTTTTGTTTTTTTCCCCCGTGTTCTCTTGACTGATTTCTTTCCACCCTGTCTCCCTTTTCTCCCTTTCACATATCATGGTGCATAATTTGTGTCATAGCTTCAGTGTGCAAATGGAGAAAACTGTGGTGACAATTTCAATTTGGCAGAAACTCTGAGAGCACATAATCATTTGACACTATTTCCTGACTGCTGTTGCCCTGATCTGCTGAGAAGCATGTCCAGATTGTCCCTTACCCATACTGATGGAGCCCTGTGTAAATATCCTTGCTGCAGCCTGCACTGCCACCTTGAGGACGATTTACAGATTATCTTTTGTCTCCTTTGTGCGTAGTGTTTAATCTGACAAATTGGGTATGGGCATGTTGCTGCTAGATAATCTGTACCACATGCCCGCCACGCGGCGCTTGGTTCTTTTATATTTTGCCTGTGCTTTTTTTTCCCCCTTCTTCTTTTTTTTGGCATGAAAAAGGCACAACGCGTCCAGATTGACAATCTGCACACGCCGGAGGTTGTGCGTGACCCAACTGAAGCCTTCAGGAGTATTTTTGTTATTGAGTTACTTTAGCTTTGTGCACTTCTGGGTGTTTCTCAAGTGGAAATGGCTTTAGTCAAAGCGAGCGATTTTGTAATAAGCCCGTTAAAAGGCAACCTTCATTCTACCCACACATGTCGACAGACAAAAACACATGTGGTCAAGCAGTCATCCCAATCACAGTCTTCCATCTTCACCGAGCTGTATTCAGTCAGTGAAAAAGTGACACCACTGTTTACTTCCTTGTCAATCTTTTTTTCGTCCCCCTCCTCCCCTTTTCTTTCTTTTCATGCTGCCTTGTTCTCATATCCTTCTTTTTTTTTTTTCTCTCTGGTCTTTTTAGTGTGCAGCAGTGCCCCAGTGAGCATGAAGATCCAGCCGCTAAACCAGACGGCATTGATGGTGAGCTGGGAACGCCCTCTGACAGTCTACCACCCACCTATCACCAGTTACATGGTCTCCTACAGCTGGGTGAAACGTGATGTCGCTGATGAAAAGACCTTCACCAAGACCGGGGATCAGAGCATGGTGAGTGTGGCTGTTTAAAAGCTTTTATTTATTTATTTTACAATAAATGTTGCATAAACAGCTCCGATTGGTGTGCAGAGCCTCAGATGTATCTGTCAGGATCAGAGGTTGGCCAGATCAGTGACGGTGTGTATTGGAGGTGACAGGTTATGATGAACTCTGCATGTGGCTGTTGGCTGATATGAGGGCCCAGACACTCTGCTGTCACTCACCTGTCTAAGAATAGAAGCACAGGCCCGTCACAAACTTTGACGTGTCACACTGAGATACTGTATATATAATGTGTTCAAAATTGCAGCTGTGGCCTTTATCCAGGTGTAGCATTTACCCCTCTGTTTATTTGCATTTAGGTTTGAATCAGCCTCAGAAGTAGGCACCTCTATTACAGGGTGAACAAAAAAAAAAAAAACGCATACAGACCGAGGCGGCGTAAACAAAATAATATATTCGCTTTTATTTTCCCAATTTAAAAAGCAATCATTTAAAAAAATCTTCAGTTTTCAGGCAGTACGAGCGGCTCTTTCAACAGAAACTTCTGTTAGTAACATATGCAGAGCAAATGTACCCTTTTAGATCTTTGCTCCACTGATCATATAATTCATCTCGCTGCCCTAAACAGTGAGTTAGCACACTTCGGTTCTTACAGTAGCTTTTCAGCAGAATATTCAGTGGTGTCCACAGATATATCCTCCCTCTGCAGGAGGTTGCACCTACAGGGCTGTTCTTTTTCACTCTATATATTCTTCTCTCTGGTCACATATTTTTGCATTTGTGGAAACCCAACACCCAGCTGTGCATCTCTTTAAAGCCCACTGACCCCCAGCTGTTTTTATAGTCTGCATGACTGGCTTTTTGATATAAACAGTGCAGAGGAGAAAAATCTCATCTCACCAGTTCAGAGACCTGGGATCAGTTCCCTGGTGGCAATGCTACCTCCAGCTTGGCGCATTCCAATAAACACAGTTGTCATGGGCTGGAAGCTCGTGAGGGATCTTGTAATGTTGCTGCACTAGCGACTCCTATTTGGTGTGGGTAACTGCACAGAAGGGGTGAGATCTGAGAGCAAGAGCTGGCTAATCCTTTAAGGTAATAACCCCCTTCACTCAAGCGTGTTTGCCTCACTTTGATGTTTAACCTTCACTGTGCAGAAGGATCCAATTGCAGAGTCTGGCACTGAAATTTTTTTAAACAATCGTTCTACAGGATGATTTCATGACATTATGAAGCAAATTTTGCAGCGTGGAACTTGCACGAGTTCGATGCCTCCGGTGCGCGCGCACACTCTGTGAATAAGGAGACGTGTTGTGTTCAGCAGTTACACAATGAACAATGATTTGCATATTCATAGATTCTGGGAGAAAGGAGGAGGAGATGTAATTTTAAGAATTTTAAACCAGGTAATTGAACTACTTTGTGAAGGTAAAAACACTTCAGACACAAATTATTATTCCGCGCAGCTTATCTTTAATACTGTGTTTCCTAAAACATGCCTGGAGGAGAACTTGAGCTTCGAATGTAGCTACTGAAGCTTAGAAAATGATGGACAAGTGAGCTGAAATCAATATGCAACCAGGCTTCTGGCAGTCAAGAACTCCTCCACAAAATAAACTGTTATTCTCATCAGAAAACATACCATAAGTTAATATTATTCCCTTTGTTGAATTATTGCCGCTCATTGTGGACAGACGTTCACATCTCACTTGCAGCAACAATATTTATACCTGATGTTACCCATAGTTTTCTCTCATTATTTGTGAATTTTGGCATCTCTTTTTAGCTCTCTGTTAATGATTACTGCACCCTGATGTTCTTCTTATATCTCTACAGTCTTCATTTTCTGTACTCTGTGGCCACAAAAGAGCAGCGCGTTCTCCATAAAGGCTGCTGCACTGTGAAAATGCTTACTTAGATATCAAGTGTCATCTAAACTTTGTTACGGAAGATGTATTACCCATGATGTGACTGGTGAACCATGTTGGGCTCGTGAGGCTAAGTGACTATTTTGCGTGGAATGCATTAATGTAATAACATGATTTATTTGTCGTGGTGAAGTGGGAGACCTGTAAATTTGCATTGTGCTTTGATTTCAAATGGCTGACTGAGAGAGTGATTATAGTGTCCGTGTGGTGCTCTGTCCGTGCAGTTACACTCCATTAATACAGTCGATCAGCCTCTTTTTCTCACATTATTCTGTCCACTTCTCCCTCTCTGCACTAAAGTCCTTATTTTGCTCACTTCATTTCCATTTCAATTTTCAGTTTCTATCTCTGGACACCTTTATCTGAATTATTTTGGAGAAATACTGGCTCTGCAACACCAGAGGCAATCACCCACCTATTCTGAGGGCACTTTGAATACAAGTTAAGCCATCTGCAACCTGCAAAAACACAATTAAATTAAACAGAAAATAACCTTTCTAAATAGCTTGGAAGTTGTGGGCCACAGACTATTGGCCAAGCAATAGTTTAAAATGGAAAGCGTTCATTGGAGGCTATTTGAATTATTAGCATCTGCCTTTTCAAATGTGTTCATCTGTTACGATGTAATTTCAGTTAGAATTGACAGTATTTTATGTGTGTTTTCTCTTACAGAAAGCAGTCATCACTAACGTTTCTCCTGACATCCTGTACCTGTTCAGAGTGCAGGCAGTGTGTCAACATGATCTGCGCAGTGATTTTAGCCAAACACTGTTGTTCAGAGGTATGTGGTCACAGCAGGTGTACTCCAAGGCCTTTGTTCTTTCTTCAAATGCACTAATAGATGGATATATAAATATTTTATGTCCCTCCCTCTTTTGTTTCACAGCTAATACAACAAGAATTTTTGAAGGATCTCGAATTGTGAAGACTGGGATGGTTAGTTGACCAGAAGATGGCAGTGCACATTTCTTTTTGCATCTCAGTGACGTTCATGTCATATTCTGTTGGGTAACCATTTCCCCCCCCCCCCTCTCTGCCCATCTCCCTCAGCCCACAGTTTCTCCTGCGTCCTCAGCAGACATGGCTCCAATCAGTTCTGGTTCCTCCACGTGGACGTCCTCTGGTATCCACTTCTCCATTGTCTCCATGGCAACAGGGATGGGCCCCTCTTCTAGTGGCAGCCAGGCCACGGTGGCATCGGTAGTGACGAGCACCTTGCTGGCAGGCTTGGGTGTCGGCGGAGGGGTCATCTCCTCCATGCCCAGCTCTGTTTGGCCCACGCAGGCGCCTCAAGCCACTCAGAACCCCACTCGTCCATCCACCGCGCCCGCAAAGTCCAACAACGAGCAGACGCCACCTCAGGGCTCCGAGACAGACAACGCGTCTGAGGAGAATAATGCTCCGCACGAGGGTGAAGAGGAGGGGGAGGAAGGCGAGAAAGATGGGGAGAAGGAGGAGGAGGAAGAGCAGAAGAAGAAGAAGGAAAAGACTGGAACTGACAATGGGGAGAAACAAGCAAACAGCACTCTGGCCAAAAAACCTTTAACCCCCACCCCCGCATCCACAGCCAAAGAGAAAGGAGAAGGGAAACCTACAGTTAAAGGCACCACAGTACCTCCGAGCACTGGTGAAGACGTGGAGAGCAACCCTACAGGTGTAAACCCAGTGTCCACTCAGGAGCCGCGTAATAGCAGCGTAAAGACGCAAATTCCCAAGAATTTACCTACAAAGATCCCCACTGAAAATGAAAATGCAAACAGCTGGCCTTTCTCTGTCCACACTGGTGAGCAGGACATTTCGATTCCTGTGTTGTTGTTTTTTATTTCTTTTTTTTCCCCTCCTCATACTGAAAAATCTTTTGAACTCTTGTTAAGCCTTTTTTCCCTTGTTGTCGGCTGTTGTGCCAGGCAAGACTTCTTTCCAAAGCACAGTTCTGTAAACACCACCAGCACTTACAGACACCAGTTTAGCAGAACAAATAACTTGATATAAGACGCTAACTACACTGGTTACCATCTCGGTCAAAGACGGAGCCCCAGGCGTTTGTGTCACTACAACACAGAGACCTGAAGGAAGAAGTAGGCTGTCTGCCAGAGGGACTGCGCCTCAAGGAATTCCTTTAAGCATGTTTTAAAAGAGTTTGTTTCGAGGGAGAGCATTTATGAAGATGTCTTTGCCTCTTTTTTTTGTCTTATTTCCCCCTCAACAAACCATGAAAACACTAGAAGTGGCACTGAAAAATGTAAAAAGGCAGTTGCCATTAGTGATTATCAATAACAATATAAACAAACAACACTGCGGTTTTCTTTTGAATCTGATCAACCAACCCAATCACATTGTTTTAATCATCTAATTAGAGTTAATCTTGAGCTCTTGTAAAATGTGTTTGTTCTCTCCTTGATTTGTGTTTGTGTTTGTTTTTGTTTTTTTCCATAATGACTTCTGTCTAGGCTTTTAATTTTAGGAAACAATTTATTTCGTGAACATTATAGAATTAATGGAGAAAAGCCTAGCATAGTGTCCCAGCGTTTAACTGAAGAGAAGACGGCAACGCAAAGACTAACCCTACTCTGTTCCAAGATTTCCATTTTATCTGCGAACAAAACATCAGAATAGCCTTTAAATATATTCACGGAGGCATTTTATAAGAGCACAGATGAAACTGTATAAGTCGGTACGACATATTTAGACATTTAACATGTGTTTGTTTTGTCTTTCAGACAGAACCACCATGTCCAATGGGATGCCGCCACCTCACCCGGGGATGGGCAGGATGGTGTGGATTGTCCCCTTGGTGGTGGTCTCTGCTCTCACTCTGCTGTGCCTCATCATGCTGCTAATTGTGATGGTCTACTGGAGGTGAGAGAGAGTTCACAACCTCATTCCCGGGGCTCCATCTTAGTTTGTTAGAACAGTAAATTGCTATGATGAAGTGCTGTAGCCTTTTATTAAAAATAAAAAGCCTTATCTTTACTGGGTGTGGGGATGATGATGTCTCTGATTCCTCCTTTAGAGGTATAAAAATACAGCTGCCCCTCACTCACACTGGACCTCTTGAATGCATTTTTTTTTCTCTGTTCATGTTTTCTACTAAGTAACCCACCTGCGTTTAAGTGTCCTCAGCATGGTTTGGGCTTAGCAAGGGTACTAATGCTGCTTTCTTCCCTTTGCTTTGTACATTTTGCCCATCACCCACTTGGGTGAGGGGCAGGAGACCTGAAGGCCCCGCAATGCCAGCATGGGTCCCAGCTGTGTCTTCATCTGCTGGGCTAATTTCCAGCCATGCTATTGGAGCCCGAGTAATTACACAGGCCAGGCCACAAGCACATGTCGGCTGGTTAATGAGTAACAAATGGCACTGTAGGCTACTTCCTCAGCTGGTCCTGTGTATATTTACTGCCGCTACTTGTAAAGGATTTTATTTGTTTATACACTCTTTAGAAATAAATATTTGAAATGTGTTAAATGCATTTAAATGTTTTTTTGTTTTGTTTTTTTGATTTGATCGCCACAGCAAATGTTTATATCACCTTGCTGTGACAGATAATAAAACAGTGAGATATAATTAAAAGCGGGGTTATTGGCTCCACAGAGGTGTAAAAAACCAGAGCTGAAAGCAAGATGACTGTACAGATTCGGTTAGCGAGAGTTTGGGTATTTGAGTAGAAAAGCAGGGGCAGCTTTGAGATTTGAAATGGCCATCGCAGCTGCTGTTGTGACAGCTCAGACAGTTCACAGACAATGCCTGCTTCCCTTAGGGAAAAGGCTACGGTGAAAGATGAAATCAAGCCGTTTACTCTTCATCCTCTGCGCGGTCTCTCTTAGTGACACAGAGGCTAAACCCGTGAGTTTCTCTAGTTCCAGATGTTTTGTTCATTATCATATCGACTTAATTCCACCATACATTTGATTTTTAGAAGCGTCTATGGAGAAATGTGTGGCCAGTGAATTATCTATTAAAGCTTCCCTGTTTGGGTTTATCTGAGGTTATGAGTCTGGTGTTAATTGCTGGTGTTGCCCATCTGGAAGCCTGTGAGGCTCAAGGTGTTGGCTGAAAACTGACAGATATAAAACCGAGAACAAACCCAGTCCCACCTCTTTTTTTTTTTTTCTTTCTTTCTTTTCTTTTTCTTCTTAATTGGAATTCATTAATAAAGCTGTTAAACTGGCCTTAATGCAAGCTGCTCTTCTGAGAGTCAGGAAGACGACATGGACGATGCCGATTAGTTAGCAGGACCACATCTGCCCTCAAAGGAGGCCATTAGATCGGGAGGCTGCGACTGAAACCGGGGGGAGCGCTCCTCCCCCGTTTGTTTTCACCTTTCCTCTCTCGCGCTCTCTTTTCTCTCTATCAATTCTCTCTGTCACCGTCTCTGTTTGGCTCCTCTCTTTGTGCATTTTCTTTTTAAATGCAGTTCCACCTTTTTGTTTCGGTTTCATCTCTCTAAGAATGACTAGCATCTGCTCCCTCCTCTGCATGGCGTACAGGTAGGGTTAAAGCTGGGGTATGTTAGCACTGGGATGAAACGTGGGTCTTATAGGACAGATTGCATGCGAGTTGGTATACCAGGTGTTCCGGTTCCTCACTGGTTGTTGTCAGTCACGCTAGAGCTGCTGATTATTTTTAATGCACAGCTGACCTTTTTACAAATCTGTTTTAATATCACCAGATAAATAACCTCAATACTTACGAAAGAGCATGGCTGCTTGCAGTTTGTCACTCTGTGAACTCTGAACTTCAGGCTGTATGAAAATTTTGATTGAATTGTCCTGGCAGTATTTGCAAAGATCCAGGCTTTTTGAAACAGCTTTTTGAGCAGCAGCAGAGGCAGCAGCTGCTGCCAACAATGAGTATTTACTCCAGAAAATGCATCTTGAAGTTGATTTCCTTGTCTTTCAAAGTCCCTTGAAAGAGGCCCCGAGAAGAGAAAATGTGTTTGGATTAGTTGTCTTCGGTTTGCATAAAGAGCCAAATTCGGCTCGGCGCTGCAGCGTGTCACCGTGAGTTGTTTACCTGGTCCCTATAGTCAGCGAAGGCTCTGTTTCCAGGAGCCACTCACTCTGTGTGCGATCAGCTGTGTCCTAACTTCTCTGGGGTTTTCATTAGGAGTTTTCTGCTGTTGTCATTCTGTTCAACATTTCTATGCTGATGTTGACGGACCGGATCTGAGAACAACCGGCTAACGACTCCCTCAATACACTTGGCTGCATCATTTGAGCTGATAGTGGGTGGGTTTACTGTGCCACATTCACTATACTTATCTCTCTGGGTCCCTGCAGGAGATTTTTCCAGACAGCTCACTTTTATGTGGAGGAGAGCAGCTCTCCACGGGTGGTGGCCAATGAGAATATCCCAGTCATCCCTATACCAGGTGAGCTGTTTTCTATACTGTGTCAGAAATTTAATTTATCAGTTTTAACGAGCCAGCGTGTACTTTGTCACACATCAGACTGAAACGGGACTTGCATGAAGCCTGTTTGGTATGATTTGTATGTGAGGTTGTGGCTTTAAAAAAGTATTGTATTGTATTAGTTAATGTGCAAAAAAAAAAGTTGAACAACAAGCAAGTTGAAGTTTGCTAAAAGTGATTTAAATGAACCAAAAAATAAAGTAATGGCTGAAGTGTTTTCTCAAGTTCTCCACCGCTTTAGGCTAACAGTAGCAGATCAGCATTTGTTTGCTAAAGGTAATCCATAAATGGTTCAGGTACATGATAGTGCCAGTGAAGAGGTAATTTATCAGACTACAAATATAAGGAATCACTGTTGCAGATGTTCCCATTGCAGAAATTTTGAGTCTGATCTAATAAATCTGTTTTTTAACCATAAAAAGATTTAAGACAAAACTTAAATTTAGTTTATTAAATCTGTTCTGTAACCTTAAAAATAGTTTTTTTAAGACATAAACAGAGGACTAATGGAATCTTGACTGACTTTTATCGATTTATGTCTACTGATGTATTGCACATTTACAAGGCGTCATTAAATCTTTTCAAAGGGTTTTCTGTATTACCTTAATGTCTGCTTTGCAGTTTCTGTTCATTTACATGTGAATTGACTCCGGAAACAGCACTGTAGAAGTTGTGTGACTGGCTTTTCTTAGCCCTTATTGTCCCAGGCAGCAGTGGAGTGGCAGCTAGTCGATATCAGACTTTACTTTCACAGTCGCTTTAAGCTCAGGGACATTTCAAGGCTGTGACATCAGTCGAGCTATAATCATGATGCTAGTATTGACTCTGCATGCACTCTGTTTTTATTGCTCTTTCTTTGTTTCTTCCCTTGTTTCTCTTGTTGTTTGTTTGTTTGTTTGTTCCTCTCTTTCCCCCCACTATATTTTCCCTCTGCTTATCTATTTGTGTGTATTTGTAGTGATTCAGAAGTTTGAAATGGAGCCGTGGGACCTTTAAGCCCACCTTTTGTTCAGCTTTATGTCCTGTCAAGAATGGGCCTAATCAGCCTTAGTCTATTACACTTTCTAGCTGCCACAAAGCCACATTTCACCCAGAGCTACTCTGATGAACTGATCAGGCTGATAAGTCTCTTGACACTAATATAGATGGAAAAAAGACACTTTGATAAATGACCAGATTAATAGGCAAGAATTCACCTCTATGCTGTAGCCACTGAGGCAAGTAAAAGCCTCGGAGGCCCCAGCTGCTAGTGTGTATTAGTTAAGACATTGGCCAGAATCGGCAGCGATGACAGCTGGGTCTCCTGCACTGTCCCTGTGTGATGCTGACCAGCCTCATCAAAGATCTTTCATGTGTGATTTGGAGCTGATTTGGCTCAGATGAGACAGATGTGTCTTCCTGTACAGCTCAAAATGCCAAAATCTAGGTGTTTGTGATAGAGGTCACTTGGTTATTATTATTATTTTTTAAATCTTTTCCTTTTGTTAAAAATAGTCTACCAGTCTCACTGATGTAGTGATGCCGCGTAAAAGTAAACAAAGTAAACAAAGTCACAAATTTCTTTAATTTCTGTTAGTGAGTAAAAAAAGCGATGACATAATGGGCACTTGCTGTTTTTACTGCTTCCCCTGCAGATGACATGGAGGCCATCCCTGTTAAGCAGTTTGTGAAACACGTCATGGAGCTCTACAAAAACAACATGCAGGGTTTTGCTGAGGAGTTTGAGGTACTCTTTTGACACAACATTGTGAAGCATTGTTAACCCTCGCTGCGTACAGAGTCGTGTTTTACATCAGAGCTGGGTTTTGTTGGTCTGCATGAAGGAGCTAAAACATCCATTGTTGCCTTTTAGTTCTACTCTGCTTTACGTTACCTACAAACTAAACAAGAGGTCATGTATGCCAACATGCAGCTCTTTGATTGGGCAGTTTTGACAACTTTGTGCTGACAGCAGCTCTTGCAGTCCTTTACTACTCATTTATATTTACAAAAGAAAAGGTCCTGAAGGTTTATTGATAAAGGCATCATCATGAATGGAGATGAGCGAGTGGAAAGGGTACGAAAAGCTTTTTAAAAGAATTACTGTGTTGTTGCTGCGGTTTATGTATTTCTTTCACTTAGACAAAGAACCATAAAATCGAGCCAATCCAGTGGATCTGCTTTGCTTTCACGCCACAAACCTCGCCACACTCTGCTCGAGGGAGGAACTTTCCTCGTAGTCTTCCTCTGTGTAGTTTACCGCTCAGCCATAAAAGGCCGATGGTATGTTGTTGTCACCGAGTCAGACAGGCTGTGTATCTGTATCTAATGTAATCTCAGGCAAGTTCGATCAATCTAAAGGTCAGAGGTCAAGCTTTATGAAAATCTTGTGACTGCAATCTTCACTTTCCATTATTTTATAGATACATCTACTAAGGGGTTTTCACACCAGTCCAAACCCAACAAACCAAATGAGAAGTTTCCAGATTTTCTTTGAAGTAAAAAAAAAAAAAGAAAAGAAAAAATTACGTAAATTTGCGTAAAAGCACATAAACTAGTGCTGATACTGCTAAACTACTGAGCGCAGAATTTATCTTTTGTGCACGCTCTCTCCAAATGGGCCTGCCAAATCTGAACAATGGTTGGACATTATATCATGCACACACTCGTGCGCGGGGTTGCTAATTTTGAACAGATGGTTGAGAGAAAGATGGAGAGAGAGACCAGAGTGATGAAGGTTAATTAGAGAAGGTCTGTCTGCCGGTTGACCGGACGGGAACACACTCTCTGTGTAACTAGGTTAAGAAAGGAGGCAAAAGCTTCACCCCCAGTGTATTCCTTCTAATTGGGGTCATGTAATGTGATGCCTGTGTGCGCAATGTTCAAATGCACCACGACGAAGCCGTTTTGGATGTGATTGTTTTTTTTGGGGGGGGTGACTGAATGCATCGTGCTGTAGAAAAGAAGAAGGCTGTTCTACTAGAGGCTCAAGTTCAAGCCCTAGTTGCAGCAAGCATCTGCTCTGAAGCGTCCTTGAATAAGGCACAGAATCCATGCTAGAGGTTCGGCTTTAAATTGGGGGCTATGAGCTGTGCACAGGGGAGATCTGTAGGGTGGAAAAAAATAAAACTTCCCCAACAATATAGTATCAGAAAGAACACTAAGATTTTGAGTAAATATAACTTCTTTTTAGAATGTAATTGTGTTAGATCTAGCCTCCTTAATAAAATCAATTTCTGTTTATTTTTTTTCCTCCCTGCAGGAGGTCCAACGCTCCACAGCCGACCTGAAAATCACAGCAGAACATTCCAATCATCCTGACAACAAGCACAAAAACAGATACATCAACATTGTGGCCTGTGAGTCAGCTGTAAAATCTGATTACGTCTGCCGCTTTGGATTCCAATAGTGTTCATAAAACGGGTTTTCATCTTTTTAATAATTCTCACAAATATGTCAATGCTTCCCCTTAGACGACCACAGCCGGGTGAAATTACGGGCTTTGGCAGGAAAAGATGCCAAACATTCGGATTACATTAATGCCAACTATGTGGATGTGAGTTCAACCAGCCACTTAACATTGTTGAAGGTTTACTTTTCTTTTTTTTGTTTTTGAAATGGAAAGGTTGCGAGTCTGAACCGCTTCAGCTGAACAGCGACTTGAATGAAGCAATAGTGCGATGTGAAACAGTTATTGGCAGTGCTAAACGGCTTGCTGACAGCTTTGTTTAAAATATCAATCGAGGTGTCCAAGTCATAAACCTGACAGATAGTAATAAAAAATTTTAAATTTATATTTGAGAAATGTATTCATGCATGAATACGTATCATTACTGTCAGCTCAAGGAGTGAATTTCATGACCGGCAAATGTTTCGCCAGTAAATCGGTTGCATCAGCTATATCAGGAATATTGATAGAGGAGTGATTGCATCTTACCAGTAAACAACACTCCCTCCACTCTCCTGTTTTCAGGGCTACAACCAGCCCAGAGCTTATATAGCTGCTCAGGGCCCTCTCAAGTCTACATTCGAGGACTTCTGGAGGATGGTGTGGGAGCAGAACACTGGAGTCATAGTCATGATCACGAACCTTGTGGAGAAAGGAAGAGTAGGTTCACTTTGATCTATCACATAATCGAAGCAAACATTCGACTGTAATTCAGATAGGTTCAAATGTAACTCTGTGCATGCTGTGTGTTTCAGAGGAAATGTGACCAGTACTGGCCAACAGAGAACAGCGAGCAGTATGGAAGCATCGTGGTGACCCTGAAAAGCACCAAAGTGCACGCTTGCTACACATTGCGCCGTTTCCTCATTAGGAACACTAAAGTTAAAAAGGTAACCAGACACTTGCACTATAATAAACTTTGTCTTAGTGGGTTGAACCTGCTGAAATATTGAAACATCGACATCACGGTCCAGTCAAAAGAAAACACTGGTCAACATCTGCCTGCTTCAGAAATGTATTTCGTAAATATGAATCTGCTCTAATGGCAGAGAATTTTTGTGTACTCTGAAAATTATTAATATTGTTCCAATTTGGAATTAGTGGGAAACATCTGATTACACTGAACAGATCAACGGATCAAGCAAAGGTTGTATCCATGTGTAACATGAGATGCGTCATGTTTTTTTGGAGGGGGGCGCGGGGGTTTGTGGATTATAATTAAAAACCTTCCCAAAAAATGAAATCAGGACAGATTTATAAGGGTAATCAGATTTATCAGGTCACATTTATCCAACATGTTCTCTCTGACTGTTAAATCTTAACGCAGCTTTCATTATCATTCATTTTGGTATGGTCCCCACCCCCCGACATTCAGTAACCATAGCGACTACCTTGCACCAGTCATTTCCTGGAAACGAATATTTAGTAACAACTATTCTTAATATTAGAACTTGTTTTTGTTGTGGGGATAGAACTTTAAGTGATTGTGGGCAGGTTACAGAGTAAAATGTCATATTCATCAAACCATTAGTGAGCCCTCATGTCCTGTGAACGGAGGCCGTGCCAAATTTGCGTCAGGACAGAATAAAAGCAATCACTGAGAAATATTGATTTGTAGTATCCCTACCCTCTAAGGGATTATGTGGACCCAAACAGCACAGAGCAGTCACAGGATGTCCTTGTGTAAAGGTGAACGGTGCGAGTTTTTCTATTCATTCATCACCCATTTTTCTTTCAGTAGCCAGCCGTACACAGTTCATGGGTAACCACGGGGAGATCCAGAGTTTTTTGTACATGCTTACGCTAGGACACGCATTATAATGTTGTAAAGAACAAATAAAGGCTTTATTTTTATTTTATTTTATTTTTTCTGTTTAGAAATGCTGAGTGGGAGATTTCAAATGCTATGCTGTTTATCTCCCGACTATTTTGTTCCGTGCTCAGAAATGTTGTTTCTGATGTCTTTCAGGGGCAGAAGGGGAACCCGAAAGGGAAACTAAATGAGCGCATTGTGGTCCAGTATCACTACACTCAGTGGCCTGACATGGGAGTACCGGAGTACACCCTTCCTGTCCTCACCTTCATCAACCGCTCATCTGCAGCTCGTGCTGCAGACATGGGCCCTGTCCTGGTGCACTGCAGGTACATCATTATTACTTAGCTCCTGGGCTAGATGAGTGTTACTTATTAGCATTAGGCTCATATTTGCTGACCTGGCCAAAAGCTTCCTGTATGGGTTTGCTTATATTGCTTGTCGCTCTGCTCTTCAGTGCAGGCGTGGGGCGCACCGGAACATACATTGTCATTGACAGCATGCTGCAACAAATCAAGGACAAAAGCACAGTCAGCGTCCTGGATTTTCTCAAACATATCCGCACACAACGCAACTACCTAGTCCAGACTGAGGTAAGAAGCACTAAATAATCAGTTACTCTGGGAAATGTCTCTAAAGGTCATCTCTGATTAAAGATGGATAGGGAGTTATGAAAGCTGTTCACTTTGATACTCTAAGCTCAGGTAAAGGTCACGCTTCCTGCAGTTTCAATGCAACACGCAGAGCAAAATGTGATGTGGTGAGACCAGAATGAGTCCATACTGGCTGTCCTCTGGCAGCACTTTAGTCATTTTTTTAACTATGGGATGATTGGTCATAGTTACCTGCTGCCCCTATCCATTTATATTCCTGCTATCTTCTCTATGAGATCAGTTCACAGACAACTGTCAGGAAATGTGATGTTGTTGTCTCTTCCACGGTTTCATGTAAGCTTTTTAGTACCAGTTTACCTTGGAAAAAACAGTTAATTTAACCAGATATTACATATTTTATCTTAATACCCTCACTAAATGTTAGAGGCAGGTATTGTAGTTTTGATTTCACTGTCAAAGATTTGGATGTTACATTAGAAGTCCACAATGACAGGCTCACCCACCTCACGGCATACAACCCTGAGAATGTTCAACAAAAAGCAGACTCCTGGTCACGCTCCTGACCTGCAAACTCTTCAAACTGAAAACTGCCTTTTGGTATCGGGCTCATAGCGGCAGACCCAGCTCTGATCAGCACTGATGATCCTCACCGTGAAAGGTTCAGTTTGACAGAGAGGTTTCTGCCTGCTGTCAGTTTGACGTCTGCAGTGAAAGATTTCCAGGAAGCAACTTTTAAAGGGGAATCGGACAAATTCAGATTAAATGTGTTTTCTTTTTTTATTTCTTTTGACTGACTGTACTAGTTACTCTGCAGAATCCAATATTTATTATCTAATCATTTATATTTTAATTAAATATATTGTTTTTATAATGTCTGTAGATGTCTGATATTTATCTTCAGTAAACAATGCTAAAACTTGGCATGGAAGAGTACTTGGAATTAAAAATGTATAATAATAATAAGTTTTTTTTCCTAACAATCATTTTAAATAAGCATTTTAATTAATAAACTCACTTTTTGTCAATAAAAGTAAATCTGCTTGGTGGCTATAACTGGATGAAGTCTAGTTCTTACGTAATTTGGGATACATCAGCTTTTTCTGGTAAGAATGGCTCCTTGAATGGCTCCTTTGTTCTCCACATGTCCATCTTCCTCTTTTTTTTTTTAAAGCTCTTTGGGAATCATCTGGTTGGAGGGAAAACACTATTTTGTGCCTGTTGTCTCTGGCTTTTTTCACATATTCAACAAAACAAATGGGAACAAATTTTGTGCTTTTGCAGCAGGTTACCAGTAGCAAAGTGCCTAAAGATACAATTTAAAATCAGTTCTTTGCTGCGTTGTCTTTTATGTGTTGACACATCACTGATTCATCCTTTGAGTTTGGTGCCTTTTTATGTTTGAATGATTCGTAGGTCAGTGTCAAGTGACTTAACAAACAAAACAAAAAATTCCTGTGAGACTGTTTTGGTAAAACGACTGGACTGAAAATGAGCGAAAAGAGAGCGTTGTCAAAATAAAAACGTTGAAACACCTTCAAAAAGCCTGGAGAGATATTGCTGGAGACTACTTTAAAAGAATCTGGCTCCTTGGAAGCAAAATATAAAGATACATTGAAACATTTCTGAATGCTGTATACCTTTTGTCTCCCACCAGGAGCAGTATGTTTTCATCCACGATGCTTTAATGGAGGCTATCCTGAGCAGAGAGACGGAGGTGCCCGCCTGGCAGCTTCACAGCTATGTCAACAGCGTCCTTACACCCAACTCAACAGGCCGCACACGGCTGGAGAAGCAGTTCAGGGTTAGTAAGCGCGCAAGTCTAACTAGTCGCGTTAGACGAGCTGTCTGCGTCAGCAGTGGCTCCATCAGCTGCATTTGAGGTGGTCTTTGACTCAGAAGCTTGTTAGCAACACGCAGGCGGCTTTCCACTCGCAGACAGAAATAAATTGAGAGCGTCTCTGATGTTGATGCTAATAAAGTCATGTCTGTCACCCCTGCCGCCTTATGCAAAGCTTGATGAATGTTTCATTAAGCTCCTGCTCTTTCAACATCAGGAGAGACAAACTAATTGCTCCCACATAATGTCACTTCCTCCTGAGATTCACATGCTTGTTATTAATGTGAAAGACTTGCTGTTAATTTTGGGGTTTAAACAGTATTATATCTTAGTTTTTATGTGTTTGATTTTAATTTACAGCGACTCTCCGGACTAAAATCTAATTTTGCCTTCTCTCTCGCCAGCTGCTGACTCAGTGCAACACACGCTTTGTGGAGTGCTTCAGCGCCCACAAAGACTGCAACAAGGAAAAGAACCGCAATTCCTCAGTGGTTCCCTGTGAGTATTTACAACAGCATACTTGACATGGAGCCGAGGCTTCGGCGAACCAAGGTCATGTCGAACAAGCTCTCGGCAAGAACGTGTTTAAATAATCTTCCACGAATCGTATCAATCTTGTGTTGGTTAATTTTGTAAATGAAAGGAAATGAGAATTGGACTCAGATTTGCTTATGGCAGATTTTGCAGCCTCTCTTTATTCATATTTCCAACATTAAAATCGGTTGCCGTAGTCCTATAAGTTAATCTTTCCATGCCTTGGTGAAACCCTGATGATGGAAAAGGAGGTCCTTGTTGCTATAGCAACAGTCGGGACTGGTAATAAATGTGTGCATTATCAGTCAGTGCAATATTACAGAGGCCGGGGTTCTGATTCAAAATGTGTTTTTCTATCTCTGCCTCTCAACAGCGGAGCGAGCAAGGGTTGGACTCGCCACTCTGCCTGGCATGAAAGGAACAGATTACATTAATGCATCCTACATAATGGTACAGTGTGATAGCTCCTGAGAGATTTTTTTTTTGTTTACTCTTTGTCATTGTGGGGTTTTTTGTGTTTTGGGGGGTCTTTTTTTGAAGAATTTTATTGACTGATGTTTCCTGTCTTGCAATTGTTTGACAGGGACAGTGCTGAGTGTCTGAGAAAATAGCTATAAATGAACCAGAGTTAGAGCTATAGACTAGTTTGTAGCTGTGTCCCTGGCTAGTTCTGAAAGAGCGATCTATGTTTAAATGACAATGATGGTGATTGTGATGTGGAGGTTACAAGTAGGTCCATAATTTGTTGAGCAGAGACATGAATGTTATAGTTCTACCTCACAAAACCACCACATTGTCTTTACTATGTGATCGGTTCTGCAGCATTTTGCTGAATCTGAGCAGAGTATAGCCCTGAACATGTCACATTTCATCCTGCTGCTTCTATCAGCAGTCACATCATCAATAAGAACTAGGGACTGAGTTCCATTTCCAGCCATACATGCCCATGCCATTAACATTGCCTCCACCCTGTTTGACAGATGACGTGTCATGCTTGTTTCTCTCCTTCTCCGTATTCCTGTCTCGTCATCATGCTGGTACATTAGTCTCGGTCCATCGGTCTGAAGTCTTTGTTTCAGAGTTCTTTTAAATGTTTCCCGACAAAGTCTGATCTGCTCTTCTTGTTCCTGAGCGTAACCAGTGGTTTGCACCATGTCGTAAACCCTCTGTATTTACATTCATGAAAGCATCTCCTAATTGTTTATTTCAAATTACAAGGAAAAACTGCAAAACTAACCACATTGAATCTGCTTCAGATGTTATGTCTTCTTCATTTGTCGTGAAATTACAAAGCTTCACCTGGACATGAAATGTGGTCGTCAGTCAATTCTTTACTAAATTTTGGATCTCTTGTATTAAAATGCCTGGAATTCTTAAACATTTAATTCGAAATTTTAATTTCAACAGAACTCAAATCTGCATTTCATCCACATTTCAGTTGTTTGATTTAAAATCACCTGTGGTGGTGTACAGAGGCAAAATTACTTTTTCCACAAATTATGGACCTAACTACGTTTAAGGTTTTTTTTGGTGTGGGAAATATTTCATATGCATGAGTGCTGTGGCCTTGAGAAAAACTAAAAGCTCACTGTCTGTCATTTCAGGGCTACTACAGGAGCAATGAGTTCATCATTACCCAGCATCCTTTGCCTCATACCACCACAGACTTCTGGAGAATGATTTGGGACCATAACGCTCAAATTATTGTCATGTTGCCCGACAACCACGGCCTGGTAAGTAATGGAGGAAGATTATACAATTTTTCTCTGAAGTTTCTTATTTGTCTGTCCCGCAGTTTCTGATGGACGTGCGCCGTTTGTACGTGAACATTTAGAATGAAAATGAATCATTAGTGAAAAAGTAAATACCAGGTTTCTTTCATGGTTTCCCTGCAGGCTGAGGATGAATTTGTTTACTGGCCGAGTCGCGAAGAGGCCATGAACTGCATCGCCTTCACTGTCACACTCATCAGTAAGGACAGACTGTGCCTCTCCAACGAGGAGCAGATCATCATCCATGACTTCATTCTAGAGGCCACACAGGTAGCTGCTCCTCTGCCTCATTACATCAGTGTTGGGTTATTATTACATGACGCATCACGTCAGGAGTTCATCGTCTTTATTACATTTTATTTCAGTGGGGAAATGCTGTAATGTGTAGAATCCTAATTAAACATGTCATGGGTGTGCGCTCTTCTTCTCCAACAGGACGATTACGTTCTGGAGGTGAGGCATTTCCAGTGCCCTAAATGGCCAAACCCTGATGCCCCTCTCAGCAGCACCTTCGAGCTCATTAGTGTCATCAAGGAGGAAGCCATGACTCGAGATGGCCCCACTATTGTGCATGATGAGTATGTTTATATTTACCTTTATGGCTTTTGTGATGAGAAAAGACTAAATAATCTTTGGGTTAAGGTTCAAGTTAAGTTAATCTAAATGTGAAGAGTTCAGAAGGGAAGGTCTCCTCAGATGTTAACTTAATTTTTGGTAGATGTGGTGACATTGTAGGGTCTTCACGAGTGGGATACAGATGGAGTGCTTTCCATGGCTTGGGCTTTGAAAAGTCCTTAAGTGTGTGCACTTGGAGGATAAACCAAAACGCCACAAGTGTTTTTAGTAACCAGGCAACCAAAACGTTTTCCATGTTCCCAGCTGATGTCTTTCCTCCAGCCGTCTGTACAAATACTTAGCTGCTGTTGGTAACAGCAGCGCCTATCAGAATAGTTCTCATTGCACAATGTCCTCACAGTGAAAAATAAATCTGTTTGCTCCCTGTAGTTGTCAAAGAGCAAAAAAACAGCCCCAGTGTTCCCCCACTCATTTCTATACTAGGTGTGAACATGATGGGATGCTTATGACTGACAAGGGAAGCTGTATGCAGCCAGGTTTTTGCTTTCTTTGATTCAGTGCAGTGATGATTTTTTTTCTTTATAAATTAACTTGTTGTGAGTCTTGCAGAAAGACACCCAGTAGTATTAGAGGTCAGTGGGAAACACATCTTACTGCCCAATTAATTTAATTTGCTTACAACTTTGCCTTTAAATTGGCACTGTACCTTTTATTTTATATTAATTAATTTGACGTTTTTCTCACTTTTACTTATTCAGTTATTTACAGTGGTGGCAAATGTAGTTGTGCTTTCTATATGCAACTGCATGCATGACTCTTAACTGGTAATGTTAAACCATTCAATCAAACATTATGCAGTTCAACTGGATTCTAGTGCAGAGACTGCCGAGGCATTGTGATTCAAGTGTACTCGCTGACAGCCCTTTCTCTCAGTGTCCGATAACCTTGAGTGATACTGTGTTGTGACATGTCAGTCTTTAGAGCACACAATGAAGATCACAATGATCTAACCTCAGTTTAAGAGTGATATAAGCACAAGGAACTATTCAATGTGAAAGGGACATGGCAAAGTGAAACCGTTAACTTTGGGGGAGGGAGGAAGAACCTTTCCGATGTCTTTGACTAGTACGCATGTGCAGGGCAAAAATAACAATTTATGACACTTAATAATTTTGCCATGCCTAATTAACCCTTTGGTATGAGTTTGTGGTCACAAGCGCTACATTCAAGTCTTCCTTAATAGAACATGATGTTCATTTTGTCCCAATTAGAGTTGAATAAATAAGAAAGCAAAGTTTACTTTTAGGCCTGGCAACATTTTACTTGATAAGTTGCTGCAGAACAAACGTGTAGTGTTTGCGGTTTAAAAAAACAAACAAAACCAAAACAGTAGTCCAGAAACCAGCAGTGACTATGCATAACGTCAGCAGCTTATTTGTAGTAGCTGTATTCAAGCTATAAAGCGACATACAAGAAATTAGCCCTACATATGCAGTCATTAAGGCGAAAACACAAAAACAGGAAAACAGCCAGCAGAGCTGATTCTGGGTATCTCCTCTCAGGTATGGAGCAGTGTCAGCAGGAATGCTCTGTGCCCTCACCACGCTGTCCCAGCAGCTGGAGAACGAGGGTGTTGTCGACATCTATCAGGTGGCTAAGATGATCAATCTCATGAGGCCAGGAGTCTTCACTGACATAGTAAGTTCACACTGTGGTAAAACATCGAGTGCCTAAAATTTTGTGTTACAATTGTCAAATATTTTTATCTTCTTTTTTTTTTTCCTTTAACAAGCATGTCAAACACCTTTGAAGTTGAAGTGGATTGTCTGCTTGCACAGTGCTTTACTGTGTAGTCTACTGTCACCATTTTCCATAAAACCCAACTGAAAACGAGTATCTGCTCCGAATGGGCCTCTGAATTAATGCTAAATGTTGCTCTGTATCTGCCGGAAGTATAAATAGATTTGGATTGGGTTGCTAACACCTTTTGCATATCAACTTCATTAGCTTGCGATTGACATTGTTGCGTTTACAGCTTGTTCTGCTGCCCCCAAGTGGCCAGAAAGTCAATTAATACTGCCTTAAGCTGCATTTACTGCTGCATTGATTATTTTCTTGTCAACAGCAGGCAGAAAAACAGGCTGGCAGATACACAAATTGCCAGGTGTCTTCACATCAAGCACACTTTTCATTCAGCAGAGATGGAGCTCCATTAGTATTCTTGGCTTTGTCCAGTTTTCCTTAAGCTCTGTTTTCTTCACCAATTCCTGACAAAATGTCTTTGGCTTTAGCTGCTAAATGCCTCATGGTGTTCACCATCTAGTATTATTTTTTTTAAAGCTTTCTATGGTATGTGGTGAGAATTCATAAATGGATCATTTGGGCAAAAAGCCTGGCGAACTGGATGTTTCTACTTTTTAGGTGACTCACTGCAAAAGTTACTTTCATTCATCTGTTTGTAACAGAAACGTCCTTTGATGGTGGTACCTAGACATGCTTGTGATTATATTAAAAAAATTAAGTGATCTTTAGAGTGAACTTGGTGCCTATTTTTGTGTTTGTGTGCACAGGAGCAGTACCAGTACCTTTACAAAGCCATGCTCAGCCTGGTCAGTAACCGAGAGTGTGGCCTGAGCCCCATGCACATGGACATTAATGGGGCGGTGGTGATCGCAGACGAGTCGGACCCCGCAGAGAGCATGGAGTCGCTCGTCTGAGGACATTCTTACAGGCACTTAATTTGTAAAAATCCGAGAACATTTCTGAGGCCTTTTTGCCAGACTATTGATTAAAATGAATAACCTTATTACTTTTTATACTGATAAAAGTTTTTTGATATTTATGTTTTTGTCCTTTATTTCTTGTCTTAAATGTTATCCTGCTGAGCGTTTGCACCTGTTTTAATTTGACACGAGGAATAAGCAGCTCTGTCCAGTTTGCACTATACTATCAGTGTTACTGCCTAAAATCCAGTGAGCAAAAGTATGACATCATTAAATCCTGGCATCGCGAGGAAACTCGGATCTTGGACCGCGCTGAGACAAACGCGAGGCACGAAGGCCGGGATGCGCTGAAGCGATCCGCTTCCTGATTGTCTCGAAACAAAACTTCACTTCATTTTACAAGCATGAATTATGTCACTTTATCACTTCAGTCAGACTAACTGTTTTGAGGCTCCGCTCCACAGGGGTGAAGCTTTTTATCTCGTGAAGAGACTCACACCTGCCTATATATTATTTCCCCAGTATCTCACTGCTGTCTTGTAAAATGTACCTATGGCTTATTTTGTTAAAGTGTGTTACAACATCTAATGTGAACATTTATTGCTTTTTACAGGGATTTATATTGTTATATTGTTAAATTGTTTTGTAATATATATAAATATATCTATAAATATTATATCCCTAATAGCCAGCCAATGATTGTTTTGTTTTTTTCTTATTTGTCCACCTGCCTTGGTGTAAACTTACTTTTTTTTTCTTCTTTTTTTTTTTAAATAAATGGAGATCTGTAGCTTGTCATGTATTGCCTACAAATCTCCAGCTGTGTTTTTCTTTTCTTTCTTTTTTTTTCTTTTTTTCCAACATTTCTTTGAGCTTTTCTAACCCAAGCGGTCCAAGCTCAGCTGTTAAACATCTGTACCAACAAAATGTAATTGCTCTACATCATTTTTTTTTTCTCCATGTGTTTTTGCAATGCAGTGGATGTAACGAGAATTTATTTTTGACGCTGATCAACACCAAAATTGAATAAATGAATAAATAAAATTCACGTCAAAGTGAAAACAACTGGCAGCGGATTAGTCTTCAACATTTAAAAATCCAAATCCCACATTTTTCTGCACAAACGTTCAAGGACTTCAAGGCCACATTCACAGAGGGATCTTTGGCAGCATGTAGAAGTTGGTTGGGTTGAGTCATTTGAGGATATGTGCACATCAGTTTTGTGGATAAAGATACTGCAGTTTTGTTGTCCTTTATAATCCTGCCAAGCTGATGTGAGGAAACTGCCAGTTTTTCAAGACTTAATCTGGACTCTCTCTCCCTCTCTCTCTGTCTCTCTCTCTGTCTCTCTCTCTGTCTCTCTCTCTGTCTCTCTGTCTCTCTCTCTACATATAGATATATAAATAAATCAAAATAAAATATGGTGCATGCCTGAGCTTGAGATGTGGAGGTGAGCCTTACAAGCATAAGGTTTGTGGAAGCCCTTCACAGAAAGTAGGCAGAGGGACTTCGAGACAGGAGCTAAAAGAGGATAAACTGAGGCTGTTTTAAACTGTGAATCATTCAAGGCTGCTCCATTAGAGTGCCACAATAAAAAAGATGAAGCAGGAAATGAGTAGAAATTGCTCTCAATTAAGGAAATTCATGCTTTATAGTTCATTGTTTTACCCAATTTTACCACAGAGGAGAATCCCCGCCAGGCGTCCTGGTGAAGATGTTATTCAGTGCCTTGTTCAGATGTTTTTGGGTTTTGTTTGGTTTTTTTGGGGTTTTTTTTTGAATAGTTATCTTAGATAGTTATCTTTGTTCGTAATGAAGTTATTGCAGGAAAATGGAACTAGGACTTGGACTTCATGGGACTGAAATTGCTCAATGTACTGTCATCACAAAGTGGATTAACTTATGAAAGGATGGACTATTTAGATTTTATTAAAAGGGGTGAATGTGTTTGCAAATTAATCGATCTGAATCTACATTCATATAAAGACATATTGATATGGGTCATTTTTCTCCCGCTGTTGATCAGTGTCAAAAAAAATTGTTACTTCCATTTAAAATTGTAAACAAACACTGAAAAAAGTCAAATTAGGTGAAATCTTTCTGTGGGGGAGGGGTGATGCTTTATTTGTAACCAAAGATGTGGTCCCGCTTTGGAACATGTTATTGGTTTTATCCTGAGATCTATTAAACCAGATAGAATTTGAAATCCATATTGTTAAATCTCGCAGATTTCCACTGTGGAAAGTGTGAACTTATCCTTTGAGCATGTTTCACTTCTAGCCTCAAACTCGCCTTCCACAAGCTCAAGATCAAAGACATGTGTGACGAGGTTTCAAATTCCGACTGTAAATTGTATTTTATCTGGACTTTACTGCGTTAGTTTGGAACTGTAATTATAACCCATTTTCAACCCTTAACATTCCTCTCTTGGTTGATTTTTGTGTTTTCTGTGTTTTAATTTGATTTTTTTTAACATATATATATATTTTTAAATTCATCTGATAACATCGATTTCCTTTCCACCCGGGAGTTTGCTAAATCCATTGAAACCCCTCTGACATTTGGAGAAACATCAAAACTCCACATGGAAACTTTTTTTCATTTTTAAATTTTCACCTCGTGTTGGTGTGTGTGTGTGAGTGTGAATGCCAGCATCTTTCTCTGCTCACATTTGAAACACAAGTGCTGTAGCTTCACGCATTTACTTAAAAAGGAAAAAAAAAAATCTGTAACCTTTGTGATCATAGAAGTTTATATTTTCATACAAAGATTTGGTTTGTACAGAGGACCTGTAACAGATTGTACTTTTGTGAAAACACCTCAGCAAAACTCCAACAAACGAAGCTGCCCTCCTGAGATCCGCCATGACGATTTAGATCAGATATCAGATATGTTGGTCTCGGATCACTTCAGCTACGCTGGTCATTAACTCTAATCTGTAACTTACGAAAATTCAAAAAAAAAAAAAAAAAGGTTTTGTCAGTCACATTACGTGTTTATATGACAGTATCATAGTTATTCCTATGATGCTATTATATACCATATTATAATATACTGTCATTTAGGTAAATTGTATTGCTCTGCATTGAATAAAGTCTGGCTTTGGGTGCACTGCATCCTTGTATTACATGAAGTATGGAAAATAAAATAAGGAACCTGCTCTCCATGTCGCCCCCTGCTGTCACACTCTCGCCGAACAACAGTGGTGGAAGACGTACGCACAATCCTGTGTGTTAATATATGCAAGTGATTTGCTCATTTAAATCTTTATACACTGCCGTGTCAACCTATCACATCCTCTAATTCATATTTATACTCATGATGAAATGACTGTAAAATCCTAATACATCGAGTAACCCGAGCTATGAAATAAATGTGGTGGACTGAAATATTTCCCTGTGAAATGTAGTGGAGTAGACATATGAAGTGGCATAAAATTGAAAATCCGAATGAGCTGAAATGGCACCATAGGTTCATTTTCCCCTAATGCCGCACTTTATTTTGGCAGAAATTGGCACTGTTAAAAGTATTGTAAATTAGGGGTGGGTTTGAGTCCGCCTCGGGCTCTTTTCTCTACTCTTTCTGGCTTTCGTTTTGCTCTCCATCTGAACTGTCACTATATAAAAGGTTAAAATGGATAAATACGTGCTTGGAAAAAATTAGGCATAATTAACTTTTAGCAGTCCACATGCTCAATTTAGTCCTGTATGAATGTACAAACTGCAATACAGAGGGGAAAAACATATATTACAGAATCTAAAGATCACGGATATCCTCATACTCAAAACTACTAAATGTTGTTACTTTGCACCAGGAACTCTTTGTGTTCAGTGTTGACGGTTGTATCCCAGGTACATCTTAGGAAACATGACAGGTGATGCACATGTACAGTAATTTTTATTTAGAGGCCACAGCTCTTGCATATTACAACTGTTGGCTTTCATAAGGCAAAAGCAAGAATGAATCCACCAGCTAATTCACACAGAAAACAGAAAGCGTTTGGGGAGGGTGGGAACCCACGGGCATGCAGCAATGGCTCAGAATGCAATGTACAGCATTTTATATTTATATATATATTTATATAATATATACAAAACAACAGTGAGACCCAAACAAATGCCAGACATCTCATTCTACACAATTACAGAACAAAGACGGACCAACTTTTTTTTTTTTTTAATAAAAAAAATTCTTTTTGCTCTTTTTCCTTGTAAAAGTGCAACTCAATTAAAATAGAACCTGTTTCAAGGCCTTTTAATGTTGAAATAAAAATAGAATCTCCCGAGTTATCAAAATGGAGCTATGAGAATATTGCATCTCTAGAATACCCACTCGAAGTTCAAGATTCCTGTTGAACCATGTCTAATTCGTAATTGAGATGAGATCACATAGCATTGACACATGATAAAAAATGCAGGTCTAGACTTACTGTCGATGTTAAGAACAGTGAGTAGACGACGGTTTATCTGTAACAGCCGTAAACAAATACAGAGGTTTTATTTTCAGTTCGAAGCAGTTGGCATTCACTTAAAAACAGACGAGACAAAGAAAAGGGTCCACACACTCATCATCACGACAATGTACCATTAATGAATGTAGAATACGACAAAGAAGCGCCATATAGGATTGCATTGGACAGGGACACACCTATTAATCTCACTCAACATTGTCAAACAAATGGTTCTCCATATTGCTTAGTAACACATAGAAATGAATTTAGAAATGAATGAATCCAAGATAGGTGCTATCTTTATCATGACACAGCTAAACTGCCAATCATGGTTATTTTTTTTAAACATTTTTATTTTGATTTTCTTCAGTATAAGTACTATTTTTATAGTTAATAGTTCCTTCATAGGCATTTCGAGCTGACAAAGAGGTCCTAGAGTGGCTATCTGAGTTGGTACATGCATCGGTAACCAGGCTAAAGTCAAAAGTGTGAAAGGGAGGGGGTCGGGGTGAGGGAGGGTCCTAGAGGGAGGCCGGGGCTGAAGTCTCGGTGTCTAGTCGTCCTCTTCGTCCTCCTCGTCGCTGTCCTTCATGGAGATGCCTTGCATGCCTCCTTCCCTCACCGAAGCAGCGGCCTCCTCCATGGTCAGCCTGTTGCGCACCGTGTCGTACATCTTACTGTTCAGGGTGGAGTCGAGGACACCCTGCAGGCGGAAGTCCCGGTACTTTTTCTGCAAGAAGACAAATATATATGTCACGTGACACGCTTCCTGCTGTGTCTACTACAAAAGAAAGTTGACATGAGATACACGGAAGTCAGAGAAATAGTGAAACCATGGGCCAGCTTTTGGATCTTAAAGGACCACGTAAGCTGCAGGAGTCCAAAACCCATCCATGTGAACCCACGGTGCTCTAAGATAGACCAAGTTAGGATTTGTAGACAAAAAAAAGTTTCCAGTTTATCAACACCTTACCTTTGTAATCCTGATGAGGATTTTTAACTGGTAGACGTGGAGCTGCTGATCCATGCGTTCAGTGAGCCAGGTCCCCAGCAGGTTCATGGTGGCAGTGTACCATTGCTGAAACACAAACACAACACTCTCCAGCAAAACACACACCCACACACGTACTAAAGACACCATGACAGAAAACTAACCTTTAAGACGCAGGTATAAAACCAGAACTAAACATGTACATTTCATAATAACATCAGCATTCAGTCACTCGGATTGAAACTCAGTACAAAGTCTGTATCGCACTTCACAAGAAAGCCATTCTTGCATGAGTCAGAACGAGCAAATAATGCAAGTTAAGAAGTTTTCGAAAAAGGGGAAATCATGTTCAAAATAAATAAAATCTCACGAGCCACAGAAGTATTACAAGCTACAGAACATGGACGTGCTTCAACTGTTTCTTTTGATCGTAGATTAAAAGATATAATACTCCAACTTCTACATGTCAGATCGCCTCATCTCTTCATCGCGTGCTTTTAACTCGGAGTTCCGGACAGCATTAAATATAAATCACTGAGCCGATATCAAAGTTAAACTTTGGAAGTTAACGCTGGTGCACTGAAGTGGTGACAACTTCAAACTGTATGGTAAAACATTAGACTTGCTACATTTCTCAAACATTTCTCTCACCTTTTGGGGGTCTCTAATTTGGATGAAAAGATCAAAACTGGTGCAACGTCTCTAGGTAGGATAGCACAACGAATGGGAACGGTGAAACAGCTAGTCTGGCTTTAACAATAGGTAAGTACAATCAAAAAGCTCAAACATAATTAACATGCTTTTTAGGTCTGAGTAAGAGAAACTGCACAATGTTAGTGCAAAACTTATCTTAGCATAAAACATGAAGCAATAAACTGTCTCCTTGCTTTGACTTCATCCATAAGAAATATTCAATTATTGTCATACTAAGAGCTAAAAGTAAAAGCAGACCTTACTGAGCTGTGTGCCAAAAACTCAGGATCCACACTGCTCTAAACACTCGGTGTCATGATGTTAAAAGTGAGGAGATATAGTCAATTTGGTCGTCTCAGACACAGATGTGGCTGTGAGCACAGAGTCTCTACCCACCTTATGTCTGTGAGGGGCAACCAATCAGAAGAAAACTGGCTTCAAGGGAGGGTAAAGGGAGCCAAGACAGCTTGTTTTTAGACAGTGGGTGAATTGAGCAGCTCCACCAAGGGCCATTAAACAACAGAAGATGATTATTCTGAGCAGTAAACCATGAAAAGCTACAGTAACAATATCCAAGAATTAAAATATCGTTTTGAAATGAGCAAAATAGGTTCCCTGTCATAGAAATATGCACTCGGGTAATTTTACTAAACAACGGACTTATAAGCTTATCCCAGTGGTCAATAAGACACAAAAAAAACAGAAGAGCTTCTTTGGTGTCAAATCCCCCAACGACACTTCGCACTAAACCAACAGATGGAATCAAATTAAATTCTATGTAATGTTTACTAAAGTAAATGGAAACTGCTTGAATTTCATTTAGTGATCCCAACACACTCAAGGACACAAACAGACACACGTTTACCTTTTACACAAGGAAACTGCATTTATAGCGCTACGAAGAGATGGAAGGAGCAAGTTTATGGAATTTCTCTGAGTGCACTGATATTACAGCGACTTGAAGGAATTAATTAAAAAGAGGGAAGTCATAACGCATTGAAAAATGTATCTGTCTTGAACTGCAATTACCTTTTCAACTTCTAAAAAATGTTCAAGTCGATATTTTGTAGCAGCTGCATGGCCCATCAATTACTGAAGGCAATTACTAAGCCTTTATTTATAATTTATTCAAGTGGAAACGCGGTGCTGCGTTTGAAATGCCCTACACTGTGGATAGAAAACTACTATGGGGAATTGAAATTATAGTTTTGACACGGGTACATTAGCAAAAGAAAAATAGAATGAGAGTGAGTAAATGGTTTGCAGGCAGGGAGCAGCGGTGCTGTTTTCTTGTACCTTTTTCGCTCTCGTTTCCTTGGGGTGGCAATTTTCCAGACTGCACCAAAGTTACAAGAGAACAGCACCCATGTTTGATAGAAACGGGCGTCATACCTCCAAAAAAGGTCAACTTTAAACTTGTGAGTAGGCAGGAACGCAGAGAAGCTTTACAAGGCCCGAATTAGAGGTGGAAGGAGTTAGCTTAGTTGGTGTGTTTTTAGTTTTTAGGTTGAGGTTTATTGAGATCAGGATTAGGTGAATGGTTGAAAGGTTTGAACTTGCAGATGCCTGTCCACTTCACAGTCGAGTTGAGCGTGCAGTGCATGCAGACTTCGCGGGTGGGTGGGTGGGTGGGTGAGTGGCTGAGTACGTGCTAAGGACGACTGCTCTATGTGCAAATGAGGCAGAACTCTGAGGAGGGTCATGCTAGAAGATGTACACAGGAAGATTATTTGACTCTAAAATCATGCCAACCAACATAATGTGATAAAACAAGGCAACGCAACGCTAGAGATAAGTGCCACTTTTTGACTAGAGGAGGCAGCAGGAATGAAGTTAATCAGAAAACAGGAGATTAAAAGGATTGAAATAAATCAGCGTAAGAAAGAGAGATAGTAGAGCCTATGCAGCGTCTAGGAACGACTTCCACATGCATGCAAATGAATGAATGGAAATGCATTCAAATCAAAAAGAAAAAAACATTGAAGGCTTCGAACTTGCTAAAACTGAAACACTCACAGCTCAAAACAAAACA